GAAACAAAGAAAGGGAATTTTGTTTACTCTCTTGTGCGTGAGGCTATTGCTTGTTGACGAAGAAGGTTGAGAGCATGAGATAATTATTATTTTTTACTTTAACTCCCTTTAGCTTTATGCTCTTGTAGTGTTATCACATCTTAATGGTATGGACAGAGTGACAAAGTGAGTTTCTTTTTCATTTTTCAAGGAAATATGGAATTCACTTTTGAGCCATACAAGGTTTCTTTTTTGAACTAATACTGGCAATTGGAACAATACAGTTGGATATCTTTAAAACAATATAGGCCCAATTAATAATTTACAACACAACAATATGTGTTAGTTTGTGGGTTTTGCATATAATATATATTGTTATATATAACTAATCCCCATTGTAAAGGTCTATCACGGTTGCCTATCAAGTTACACATTATGCCTATCAAGTTATATATGAAGAAGATCATTATTGAACTGAACGAGTCTAATTAGTAATCATGTGAGTCATTATATATAAATGAGATCAATGATTATGAATTATTATTTTTATATTGATGGTTCATCCTCCACATACATTCCGCGTACACATATACATTTCAAAATAATTGTTTTATTTTTTACAAGTATAAAAATATAAAATAAATAATAATAATAATAAAAGTTGTATTTTATTTATTTAATTTTTTTACTCATATATGTGTGCGTGGGGCAGAATCCTTTGACATCGGTGTCAAACTTTGAAATTTGACACCAAATTTCAACCGTCGATTTTCGCCAATCAACGGTTATTATTTATTGAAAATTAATAAGTTTGATTCCCAATAAATGATAATCGTTGATTGACGAAAATCAACGGTTAAGATTTGATCTCAAATTTCAAAGTTTGACACCGGTGTCAAAGGATCCTACCTCATATATATATATATAGGGAAAAGTTATAATTACAATCTATTTTCATTTACAATATCTTATAACTATATTTTAACCGTTGATTTCCGTCAATCAACGATTATCATTTATTGTGAATTAATAATCAACGGTTACAATTTGTTATCGTTAAGTATTGCTCACATTATCAAGTGGCAATTTGTTCTTATTAGTAATTTTGTAACCCCATTAAAAGCGAAACTAATCTTATTTAAATATTTTCTTAAGATGACATTTTTACATGCTTGAACAGTTGAACCCATTTCATTGTACTAACCGGCTTTGTGGAAAATCTGCTTTAAAATTTGTTGAAACTATGGGATTTAGATTTGTATTTAACATGACACAACAAACTTTTTTACACACATACTTTTTGAAAAAAAAAAATTTTTTAGCACGAATCACGTTACACCGTCGTTTTTAGTACGTCATAACTCTTATAAAACGCTGAAACTATATGCCTTGTCTTCACCTCTCTTTTTTGACATGCTTTTCATAAACTCTCTTGCGAAACATATGATTGATGGCAACCCAAAACTTCAAATCTTAGTAGGTTGCTTGGTAATGAGCAATTCCTCTATCACAGTTACAATGGCCCAACTTTTCTCAAAAGAAAGAAGAAGAAAAAGCAGGGTGACGTGTGAGTCTTCATCCCCGGTTTGTTCCATTGTTTATCACCAAAAAGAGAAAGCACTGAGTAAAAAGAAAGAGCAGCAGCACACTCTGTTCCCTTCTTTTTCTTTATTGGTTATTTTTATTTTCCTTGCTATCAGAGCAATTCCAAAACCTCTCTCCCAATCAAAGTATCAATCTTTTTGGTTCCTTCTTGAACCCCAATACAAAAAGATGAAAACTTTAGCTTCCCTCACTCTTCACTCAAACCCCAAGAGCTCTGGTGCTTTCTGGGGGAAGAACATTGAAGAAGAAACAAACCTAACCTTGCATTGGTGGTGGTGCTGGTGCCAGGGACATGGCTAGCACCAGTGGCACAAAGGGTCTTCATGAGATGTCTAGGCAGCCATCAAAGAGGATGATAAGGGCACCTACCAAGACAGTGGAGTTGCCAAATGAGGAGGGAAGTGTGGACAGTGAGATTGTTCCTTCCTCTCTTGCTGTCATTGTGCCAATCCTCAGAGCAGCAATTGAAATTGAGGATGAGAATCCCAGAGTTGCCTATCTTTGTGAGTATTTATTCAATTGGTTTTTATAATTTTGATTTATTTATTTATTTTTGCTTAATCATTGCAAAATAGTGTTAGTTGTTGTGTTGTAACTTGTAAATGGTATTATGAATACGTTGAGTATGGAAGTAAAGGTATTAAAGGGTATATATACTAAATGGATTTCCTTGGCTGTTTTGTGCAATTTGTCTTTTTTTTTTTTTTTTAAATAAATGGATAAATTTTATTATAGAAAAGAAGAGTGCAAAAGAAAGGGCTAAGATATCCTAATTAAGAGTTGCAAAAAGCCAAAATGAATGACCAGGGAGAAACCACTTAAAATCTAAGATTTGTATCACATGTATCCCATAATATTACATGATTATAATAGAAGAGATGGATAAGATATCCAGCTCTTCTTTGTTATTTCATCCAAAGCCTGTGAAGTTGATCAAAAGAAACTGATCCAAATTGAGAGGGCACATCCTGCACTCACCTCGCAAATTGAATGATCATAAGGATTTGGCTGTAGAGCAACATGGAAATAAGTTGGCAACTGCATAAGAGCTAAAACCACATGCGAAAGAGCTTTTCGGGTTCTCTGAATTTTCAACAGATCTTTAGTGCTCATCTTGCTGAGAAAACACTGTCCAAATGATAAAACTGAATTCAGCAGTTAGCTTTGGACTACCCCTATAGGACTTTGGAAGAAAAAGAAGCACCTTCCAAATATCCAAGTGATTGAAAATCTTTTGATCAAGACCCTAGAAAGATGTAGCCGGAATATTACTGCTTAACTGAACCTCCAAACAAATAAGAGGCCCCTGAAAAATGTGAAAACCAGTTAAAGACTACCGCATAAGTTTTCAGAAATTTAAAGCTTTCCTATCCCTCTACTCTACGTTCTTCCCTCAACTCTATATCATAAAGGTTATGAAAGAGTGATGGAGAGTCCACGTGTTTTTAAAATGGGAGGGTGCAAGGCCCCACTTTATTGTGCAGGACCACCTCTAAAAGAATTTGGAAGTAATCACTGATGAGATGCAATACAGTCTCCTGCAGGAGATGGGAAAAATATCTTCCCAAGCTCTAGGGAAAAAGAAATGAAACAATCAAAATGGCCAAATAATCATTCAATGAAAAACATGCAGTAGACAAAAAAAAAAGGCTTGTAGTGCTTCAATTGTTTAAGAAATTAATGAAATTGAATTTTAGTTAGGCAATAATCATTAAGTTAAAAATGCGTCCATCTGTATTTAGTGACTCATTGAAACCCTTACAGTGGAAGCTTATAGGCTTTGGAAGGTATTTCACCACCAGTTTTGTCCCTATGACTGCAGACCTATCAAACACATACTAATATTTCACCTTTTAACAATTTGGCCATGTTAGAATTTTAAGGGCTTTAGCTCATTTTAATGCATGTAGAATCATGTAAAAGAACGTTAGTATGATAGTAGTGATGAGTATTGGTAGCTATCTTTCAAATACATAAGTGGTGTTCAAGTCAGCGTTCTGCTTAAGAGAGTCAATTTATCGAATATGAAGTTGTAGTTTGAGTAGTAGTAATCAAACTTGTGCCACTTAGAAATGGTATATCAAAGATCCTAAGCTAGTTATTATGTTGTAGCATGAATAGATAGATTTTCTGTTAAACTGCTGTTAGTAAATATAAAAATATATCCAAAACAAGCCCTTATTGCAATGTTATCATATTGAAACCAGATTCTGATTGCAGAATTCTTACTCTGACAGCAAACACTAGTTCAATGTCAACATCTAAAAAAGAGAAATCAAAAAACAAAATAGAATAGAAACATTCCTTCAGCATGTCAAAGGTGTTTTACACTTATATATGCAGAAGAATATACGTCAGTAATAAGTTTTCATTGTTTGTTTAATTAGGTCGCTTCTATGCGTTTGAGAAGGCTCATAATATGGATCTCACATCAAGTGGACGTGGTGTTCGTCAGTTCAAGACTTACCTGTTGCACAAACTTGAAAAGGTACCCTGTCTAGTTTTGCTTTTTTGCAATTCTTTTAGTTCTCAAAGGTGGTATTTTGTTACTTATCATTGGTGTCTATGAGCTGGTAATGATGGATGTCCTGTGGATTCATATTTTAAATATTAAATCTCAGCTTCATATTATTTTCTCTTTTTCATTTGAATAAACATCTTCATTTTATCAAGAAAAAAAATAATACTGGACAATGATTATTTGGGACTATAGATTGATCATTTACATAAAAGAAAAAAAAGGACCATTGTTGTTGATATATTAAATATTTTAAAAAATTTCCTGGTTGCAGGAAGGGGAGCTTACTGAAAAAATGACTAAAAGAAGTGATACTAGGGAGCTGCAGGCCTACTACCAATCATTCTATGAGCACAGAATCCGGGATGGAGAAATTACCCAAAAACCGTGAGGCTTGATCTTAAACTTGTGCTTGCAACTTGAGTGAATCATGTGATTTACAATCTCTTATTCTTCTTATGTCATTCTTGCAGGGAGGAGATGGCTAAAAATGTTCAGATTGCCGCTGTTTTGTTTGAAGTGGTGAAGGCTATGTTAGCTGCACCTCTTATTGAGGAGAAGGTTTGTTTTGTTTGATTAGGCAATGACTGAGATTTGTAGAATACTTCAAAACATAGTAGGGACACAGACTGAGGATATTGTTTTCATTGCCAGACAAAAAAATATGCTGCAGATGTTGAGAATAAGAGGGGACAATATGAACACTATAACATCCTTCCCTTGTATGCTGTTGGTGTTAAACCACCTATCATGGAACTTCCTGAGGTTTGTATGTCAGGGATACATGAGTTTTGCTTCTGCTAATGATATAATCTTCCTAAAAATTTAACTTTTTAATCTGCTTGTTTTTCTTTGCTTTGAAATTATAGATCAAAGCAGCAATTGCAGCTTTACGTAAGGTGGATAATCTTCCAGTGCCCATAATTCGTTCTAGACCTGCTGACTCTAATGAAGATTCTACAATGCCTATGGAGAGGACTAAAAATGTGAATGATATACTTGATTGGATTTCCTCAGTTTTTGGGTTTCAGGTAATGAATATTTTCTGTCCCTTCTATTTCCTAATTTCACTTTGATTGGAAGTTGTCCTGGTTACTAACGTTAGCGATAATTATGACACACATTTATTATTAACCCATTGGAGTTGGGTTCTAGGTTTTAGATGGTGGTGGATGAAGTGATGTAGAATGTACACATGAATGGTTTGTGATAGTTGAATTCATAGGAGAACTGGAATCAAGATTTATTTTTACCTTCTCTTGTTAAAAAGGAATCAAGTTTTCAATTGGCTAGGATTAGTTTTAGAATGGGTGGATTGAAGGTTTGATTGAACTTATTTTAGCATTAGGCCAGTCTGCAAGGAACAAGATGTTGCTTAAGGGAAAAAAAATTTGGGCTGTTTCAAAGCTGTGAACCATACCTTCAAATTAGGTTGAAATTTGTGAAGGGTTCTTAAACAAGGAATCTTTAATGTTATCTGGTAATTACTAATTAGAATAGATCTGAACAATGCTTATAGCTTTTGAAATAATTGGCAGGTTTGTGTATTTCTGGCTGGAGCAAAATGCCAGTGTTTTTCAGTGGAGATATATTCCTATGGCATAGGTTTTTTAACTTCAGGCCTGACAAATGAACAATCTAATTTAATTTAATTTTTTTGGCTTCTTTGATGGATTTTTGTTCATAAATCTATAAAGTGATTGGAGAGCTCTTTTGAGCTGATGTGTTTTTCTCTTCCTTCTATAATTCATGCTTTCATTTTGTTTTTTTTTAAGGTTGTTCTGGGAGGATTTCTTATCCGCCTTTTTCAACTTCTCTTCTTTCTTATTTAGTTCCTTTTTTACAATACAAGATAAATTATCTACATTCACTCTCAAAACGACGTCGTTTTGAGTTGAAAAATTAAAAAATTATAATGAGAAAGACTATTATAATCCTGAAACAAATTATAATTACAAAAATACCTTGATTTTCATCCCAAAACGACGTTGTTTTGGGCTCAATGTAGATAACTTATCTATCCACATTGACTGCAGAAAAAAAGAACTCTTTAAAATAGCTATACAATCCCAACTGGTGTCTATAAAAACTGTCAAAATACTTGGGATATGGAAAATAAACAAAATTATACTTAGATTACTAATTCTCATTACATAAATGTGATCCAGATATCAGCAGTACGGCATACGGAAAGTTATGTTGAGAACATAAAGAATTTTATTGTAGTGTTGTTTTATTTTATTTTTATCCTCTTATATGCTTCAAAGATGTGAATTTGAAGCTCTCATTTGTATCAAAGTTATACTTTTCAATTTTTATTGCTATCTACCATTGAATACAGCTATATATATATATATATATATATATATATATATATTTGTCATGCACATTTCTGATGAGTCATCTCATTTAATGTTGAAATATATCTCATTGGTATCACATTTGGGATTCGAAGAAAGGAAATGCAGCAAATCAAAGGGAGCACCTTATATTATTACTTGCCAACCTGAATGTGCGAAATAGGCCTGAATCTAATCAGGTCAACTACTATCCCTGTAAAAACTTCTATTATTCTATTCTTTTTAGTGTATTATGGACAGGGTAATGCTACATTATAACGTTGTGATACTCTTCAATCAAATTGAAAACTAATTACAAGCTTGTTGCAGCTCCATGAAGAAACTGTACAAAAGTTGATGGCTACAATTTTCAAAAATTATGAATCATGGTGTAATTATGTGCGTTGTAAATCCAATCTTAGGTAATTCAATGTTTTACTGGGAGATAATCAAAGACAAGGATGTTTATCTTAAATTTCACTTCATATAATATTTGTATAATAACAAGAGCCCTTTGATTCATTTTGGTGTATGCAATTTTTTTTTAACACTTACAGGTTTCCAGATGATCATGACACACAACAGTTAGAGCTTATTTACATTGCACTTTATCTTCTAATATGGGGAGAAGCTTCAAATATTCGCTTTATGCCTGAATGTCTTTGTTATATTTTCCATCGTGTAAGTTTTCTATAACTTTCTGTCAAACATTATTAATATAGCATTCATTCTTCTGCTGTTCCCATGAGTTCATCATCTTAATAAGCCCATGCTCTAATATTTTTAACAAACTTATGCTTCATTATGTTAAACGAAATGTTTCTTGTGGTATCTCTTTTAAACTATCATTATACTGTCATTCTTATCACTATCAGTGACATTAATTTGTCATTGCTTCCATCTTTAACTATTATCTCATTGTTATCTTTAATCTCTTGAATCATTCTTCTTAGAAAGAATGGAACCATTGGAATTTATCAAAGATATTTCATGAATAGAACATAGATGTTTTTTTTATCAGATTCAACAAATAAAGTGATTCTAATTTTGTACAAAAAAAGTCATTCTTTTTTTATTCCTCTATAAACCTCTCAAAATTCTATTTTCCTCTTTGTGCATTATTGCAAGTGTTAGCTTGATATAGCTTTTTAAAAAGCATTCCCAGAGGAACGCTTCACTCTCTCAAAGTTCCTAAACATCTAAAATCCGACAAAAAACCCTCTTCTGAAAGTTTGTGGTACAGAGACATTTTTCCTGTTAATTTTGAGAACACTACATATCATGCCCTTCATTTTGAGAACACTGCATATCCAGATGGTCCCTTTTTAGTCCTTTTCCCCTTCATTTCCCCCACTTCTTCTTGTCCCTTTCTTTTTTACTTTTATTTATTTATATATACATATATTTTTATTTTATTTTATTTTATTATTTTATTTGTGTATTTTTATTTATTTATTTATTAATGTATTTATTTATTTATTTATTTATTTATTTATTTTTTTTACTTTTTTCAACCGTTTTGTATCTTTCATGTGGGTTCATCTACCACCGATCCCAATTAATTTGGGATAAAGGTGCTGTTGATGTTGATGTTGATGTTGATTTTGAGAACACTACATATCATGCCAGAATTAACTCTTTATACCCAACTTTGAAGGCCATGCAACATTGTCAAATTTGAGGGCTTTAGTAAACTTGTGCATGGGAAGTGAATTCAAGCCGTAAATTTGTAGGAATGTTTACCTACTTCAAAATAATATTTTTAAAACATCCTAATGCTTAAACATAATTAATAGCGTATCCATAATTAATATTCAACATTCCAACAACTTATGAAGCAAACAGTGAATCGATATCAGACTTATTCTGAACATCTGTCTCATGTTTCCACCCTATATCTGACCTATTTCCAACATCATTCTTTCTAATTTTAGTAGTACGAACTCTATTGCCTGATGACCCTGACCCAGTTGTTATAAACATTTTCAATTTCAACTTCAAGTTTTAGCAGAGGAACTTAACATAAATATTAAAAGGAAACCAATAGAATAGAAACAATAGGTTGAGAAACATGGAATAGATACTGTGTTGATAACTCTGCTTTTTTTTTTTGACCTCAAAGATGTGTGAAGATGTCTATGGGATTTTGTATAACAATGCCTTTCGTGTGAGTGGGGACACATACCAAATAGTAGCACGCGATGATGAATATTTTCTCAGGGAAATCATAACCCCTATATATGAAGTTTTATTGAAGGTAAGTATGATACAGATATAATTGGTTAGTTTTGCTGCATATTTTCAAATATGTGTGCCTGAAACTTGTTTCTGTATTTGGTGAAAAAGGAAGCAAAGAGAAACAACAAAGGCAAGGCAAGTCATTCCAATTGGAGAAATTATGATGATCTTAATGAATACTTTTGGTAATGTTTCACTAAACTTCTATTTTTCTGAATAATGAAAACACTCAAAACAGTGATAAAAGCTATTTTTGTATACATTGGGATAACAAGGAGCTCAAATCTGCCCTTTTCCAGGTCTGACAAATGTTTTAAGCTAGAATGGCCAATCAATCTCAACGCAGATTTTTTTAGGCATGATGCGACACCAACAGCAAATCAGGTCTCTATCTATTTACCTGTACATTCTGTCTGTATGTGTGATTTTTCAACTGTCAAATGCTTCTGTCACAATACATAGGCATCAGATGTAGCTAAAATAAAATGAATATTTGGTATGTTATTTGAGCATATCTTCTACTTTATTCTTCATGTTTAAATAACTTCTCATTGCTTTTTAAATGCCATAATTTTATACCTCTATGCCAACGTGCCAAGTAATATCTTTTTTTTCCCCTTTATCGAAGAATTGTTGTATTGGTTAATAACTTAATACTATTTTGACCATAAGATATACTGAAACAAAAAGCTATGGCAAGAACTCATGACCACTTGAATTACACTGCAACAGAAATTTGGATTGGGTTGCACTATTTGGGTAAATAATACTTTTCAATTTTATTAGAGATTTCAAGGACCAACAACTTCCCTAAAAGCTAAGAAGCTAGGTGGAGGTGTTTGAATGCTTTTATATTTCTAACAAGTGCGGGCAATACATTAGCCTATTGTACCTTGTGCTATAAATACAAGTACCTTGTGCTATAAATACAAGTACCTTGTGCTAATACCCACATCTTCATGGTTTCTCTTAGGTGTTCAGCACATGAACTTTTTAAGGGTATTAGTATTTCAGATATGCAAAGGGACTGGACAGTTGTTCTACACTAATTAGTTTTTAAGAGTTTCCTTTCTCTGTCTTTGTGTTTTACTCTTTTTGTTTTGTCTTTGTTGGGGATTTCTTATCCTCCAACATTTTGTACTTATATCTTTCTTTCTCTAATAAATTGTCTTCTTTTATAAACAATAAAAATAAGTTGCCATGAGCTGTTGGATCTCACTTCCAATACTGGTTAAAGTACAAGAAGAATGGACTCTCTTGCATAAAGTGACTCATGCTTTAATTCAGTTTATTTGGTTGGATAGGATTTGGAAGTGGATGACCTTTATAGAAGAGGAGACATATCTATATATAAAACAAAACTTTAGTTCTGTCGTCAAGTTGAAATGATCTTTGATGTAGAGCTGTTTATTTTGCGTTTTCATTTTTTGTTCATGTTCTTCTTTTCCCTTGCTCCTTGAGGTGCAATGGACATATTTATACAGCTACTGCCTACTTGTATCTTCCTTTTCACTGATAAAAAAAGTGTTCCATTGATCATAAGCAGTACTGCATGTAAAACTCACATTGTCAGATGCACTCACATTACATTGTTAGACATACTTATTGGAGTACAAATGCCAATCTTAGGTTCCCAGCCAAGCCAGCGCTGCAGCTGGGAAGAGGAAGCCAAAAACAAATTTTGTTGAAGTCCGTACATTTTTGCATCTGTATAGGAGTTTTGATCGAATGTGGATATTCTTTATATTGGCTTTACAGGTAATCTTAATACTTGGTCCCTTGGTTTGTTCTTTATGTTGACTTTAGCTGAATACCTAGACCTAAGGTTCAGTCGGGGACTTTCACCATGCAAATTTTATATCATATGTCTTTGTTTTCAGGCAATGATTATTATTGCGTGGAGTTCCTTGGGACCTGTTGGAGTGTTTGATGAAGATGTCTTCAGAAATGTTATGAGTATATTCATTACATATGCCATTCTCAATTTTCTTCAAGGTACTTATTCCTATATGTCTGAGCTTTTTGTTGTATTGACTTTTATCAAAGAAAGAGGATTTGGTTAAAGGGGAGAAAAGAAGATGGGAGGATAAAATATCCTCTATCTCACTACAGAAAAAATTGACTAATACTTTTTGAGCTGTGGAAGGGTGGCACTTAAATGTCAGGATATATAAGATAGGCTATGCACCAACAAATTATTTCCTACGGCTTCCTAAAAAGTCTGTGAAAACCAAGTTTGACTAAGACGAGTTGTGACTTAAATACTAAAAGAAGTGTTTCTATGAAAAAGTAATTTGAGTTCAATGATGGGGACAATTTCAATTTATTGGATCAACAAGGCCCACCTTGGCCTGCAACTTAGAAAGGATCGATTGGTCAACAATACTAGGAAATAGATTCGGTATCTGGTTTGGAAAGCTCAGAGGCCTATCCCCCAAGGGCCCCTATAATGGTTTATTTGGACAGTGTAGGTGATATCCAGGCCAAAAAAATCTATAGGAAAAGGGGTTAATAGTTTCTTGCAACCCAAGAAACTGTAGACACCTGAAATCTGCATATTTGTCAATGCTAGCTGTAACAGCTAAGCGCGCTCCCTATCAACCTCAGTTCCTTCTGTCTCCATTGCTGTATTTGTAAACCTCTATTGATCTACCTAATTTTCTTCACACACAAATCCAAATCCCAAAATGGAAAGATTTGCTGAAAAACCTACTCCTTTCTGTTGGAGGTAATTTATTCAGTTCCTTGGTAAACAAAACTGATGATATTTATTTATTTTTTAAAAAAGGAAGGTAGATTTATTCGGTTCCTTTGCAAAGCAAGGGTAAGGCTATGCACAAAGATTTCTCTCATCCCTACTTTCACTTGTTGGGATTTAATGGGAGTTTTTTTTTTTTTTTTTTCCTTTTTCCGTAGTGTCGATTGCAATTACTGTTGTCACTAACTTTTTTCTCATATCTTCTATTTGCAGTGACTATTGATATTATTCTTACCTGCAATGCATTGAAGAATATGAAATTCACTCAATTGTTGCGGTATTTTCTGAAATTTGTGGCAGCAGCTGTTTGGGTTGTTGTTTTGCCAGTCTGTTATTCTAGATCCGTACAGAATCCACCAGAGCTCATAAAATTTGTCACCAGTTGGGCTGGGGATTGGGGGAACCAGTCACTTTATACCTATGTTGTTGTATTATATTTATTACCAAACATAGTGGCTGCATTACTATTTTTCCTTCCACCTCTGCGGAGAACATTGGAGCGCTCAAATATGCGAATCATTACCCTTCTGATGTGGTGGGCTCAGGTCAAGCTTTTATTTTTTTCACTTTAATGCCTGTATCCAGATGCTTGGTATATTATTCTTTGCATCTCTTTCTAATTGAAATATATTTTTGGTGTTCTTTATCTAACTCTGACTATACTGCAGCCAAAGTTGTATGTAGGCAGGGGCATGCATGAGAATATGTTTTCTTTGCTGAAGTAAGTGAGAAATTCTGGTCAATTTCCTAATTTTAGGACCTACTTTTTCATGGTATATAGGGAAGGGAATTTCAAGGTGGAAACCTTCCTTTTGCTTCAATCATGTTTCGCTTTTAGTTGGCTCCATTTGTGCTTGGGAAATCTTTTCTTCTGAAGGATGATGTTTATAAGCATGACTATGTAGAATTTCAATTGATTTTTGTTATTTATTTTTTTTTTTAATGGATTTTTGTTATATTCAACATAATTCATTTAAGTTTTGTAAAATATTTACTCTCCTAGTTAAAGACACACAGGAGAATATATCTATGAACTTCCTGTTAAAGTTTTCATCATATTATTTATGAAACTTTTTGGCCAATACATTTTAGAGACAAGAAGTCAATTTTTGAATTTTTTTTTTCAATTAAATCAGACTAAAGATTGGGTATTGAATTATAGGCACATATATGAAGTTCCTCTCCTATTTATATATTTTAGCTTCAAAATACATTTTGTGGCAGATACACCCTCTTCTGGATCATGCTGATAATTAGCAAGCTAGCATTCAGCTACTATGTGGAGGTATTGTCTTTGTATATTCTTTGCTTTGATTTTTATTATGTTTCACATCTGAGTTCAGTAACTTAAGGACGCTAAAACACATGAAGGTGATAGTGTGGCTATGTATATATTATATGTGTGTGTGTGTGTGATCAGTGATTGAGTTGATGTTGTTGAATTGAATATCGAAATCCCCACTTTCTGCTGGGAGAATGATATTCAATCCTGTGTAACATAAAATTCTCTTAATGTGGTCATGAACATGGACGAATATAGGATAAATTGTAATTCAATACATATTCTTCTCCCAGCTAAGTTAGCTAATCCTGGTTCTCTAGTTATAAGAAATTAGGAGCAGATATAGTATAATATTTAGGGCTTGCTTGATTATGTTCTTTTATTTTTTTTTATTGTTAAAACTATTTTGTAATAGGTATTTTATGTGTTTTCTTTTTTTGAAAGTCAAAAGTCAACACACAAAACAAAAACATCTGATATATGTTTTCTAAATTTGATTCTAAAAACTAAAAACTATAAACAGTTACAATTTTTAGAACTATTTTTACAAAACAAGCATTATCAGACGGGTTTTTTTTTTTTTTTTTTTTTTTTTCTGAAAATCAAAAAACTGTTTTTGAAAACAGAATTCAAACATGTCCTTAATTTTTTTCCTGGATAATAGGAGAACTTCTATTAGAGAGCAAAAAGGAAAATACTACTAGAGCTAAAGATAAGTTCTCCTCTTATGCACAGAAACTATAACAGAGAGCTAGAGAGTCTCAAGACTGTAACAAAGCTATTTAATTTCTCTGATTAGCAGACAGAGAAACTCCCTTTAAAGAAGCATGAGCAGAGTTCCAAAGAGAGGCCATAAAGACAGTTCTGTTTCATAAATTTGAAAGGTCAAGGAGATACCCTTGGAAATGGAGACGTTCAGATCCAACCATAGACACATGAGACAACAAAATAAACCAAACACTGCTACAAAAATTTAGGCTCATTCTTGCTTAAACCTGTTCGAGATTCCCAAATATCAACAGTTAGTTACAATAGAGGATTGATAGTTAGTTAGAACAATTAATTAGTTAATTAGAGAAGGTCGAAGGACATGGGCTAAGCTTAAATAGGAGGGTAGAAGGTGTAAACCAACCAATTCAACTCAAAAGTTTAAGCTATTAGACGGAGCTATAGAAGGGCCGACCCAGTTCAAATACCCACTTCGTGAGTGTCTGGGGAAGGGAATACTCTAGGCAGTCTTTCCCCTGCTTTTTGCAGAGAGGCTGATTCGAACCCGCGACCTGACACACCACGGCAAGCAAGCTTACCGCTGAGCCAAGCACAAGCCCTTCACACAAGAGTCCATTGGGCTTGAATGGTGGACAATGCACAAGCCCTTCCTACTTATGTTAAGAAATTCCACAATATTTAATCATTTATTAATAGAATGACGAGTGGTGAGGATCAAACTCATGACCACTTGATCACAGAGGTTTCGATACAATGTAAAGCAACCAATTCAACCCAAAGTGATATGATCCCCAATAGGAATGGAGGAATGGATCTACTAGGAATGGAATTCTAACCCCAAATTCATCCACCAACACGACCTGTTAAGAACAGAGCGTATCTCACGCTACAGACCTCGGATTTGGGTGATTCCAAAACGAGGTGAAAGATGGCTTCCTGAATCACGATTTTGGCACAAGAATCACCGGAAAAGGATAAGGAATTCGAGAGATATGAATCCAAGATAATATAGAACGAAATTGGAGTTTAAGGATTATAGGTAGGCGCCACAATTCGAAAGAATTGATAAGCCCAAGAACGCCACAAGGATTGATGCCCTTGATAAGTTCAGAGATTCTCAAAAGAACCCAAGAGAACTAGTCTCACCAAAATAGGTTAACTTGATATTCCAAATCTGTCTTCAAAAGCCATGGTGTTCCCTTATATAGTGGGCAACAACCATATTGAGTTTAACCTAAAAGTACTTACACATAAAAGAAGATAGACAACCCAATAGTCCAGCCCAATAAGCCTTATTACAAAAAGTTTAACTAAATATAAGAAAATAAAAAATTAAGTGCAGAATTTGGGCCAAGTAAAATAAAGCCTTCATGCATATCCATTGAGGCTTATTCTTCAAGGTCTTCAATTTTAATTAAGTGTATCATTTTGGGCTCTTCTTCCTTTAGACTTGGGCTTGTCTCAAGTAAAGTGGTCACCAAGAGATTTAGAGCCTCTTTAGCCTTTTTAGCTTTTGCTCTTGTCATTGGGCCTCCAAGACCTTGTATGTCCTCCAAGTTTATTGTCTTGGTCATGCCACCTCCTATGTCCTCATCACAAAGGTTTAAGCAACTATCCCTTCTGTTGTGTGTCTTTCCAGTCAACCTTTACCCATTCTCCTTCCGATGAAGGCATATCCAGCGAGACATCTCCGGTGGTTGTGGGCATCATTTGACTCGTCTTCTCCTCCTCTACATATATCCATCCTTATTTGAGTAACCACTGGTACAACACAGCTATCTCCTGCTGCTGCGTTTAGAGTAACTAATGTTACTCAGTTGTTAAAACTGTACACAGCTATTCCCTGCTGTTGTGCTTAGAGTAACAGATGTTACTCAGCTCAGCTGTTAAGAGTTATTAGAATATAGTTGTGCAATATTAGTCTTAGCTATGTACTAACAATGGTTATTCTAATTGTCCTCCTTAGATGGCTCTCTGTCAATGGGAGGAATGGATCCCCTCATATGACATGAGGTCATGTGAGAGGATATCCGCAGTCCATAGACAAACTAATAGTTATAGAGAGTACATTAGGATAGAGAGTGAGTAAAGGATAACCGTTGATTTGTCTATGGATACTTGAGAACGTCTCGCATCCATTCCTGTCCATGGCTGTTTGCTGGTTTGGTGTGTTTTGGCAATAATCTCGCATGTTGTGTTCTGTTCTGGCTTCTTTTATGATGTTTCAATTGTTTGTTACTAGGTTTGTCATTGTTTTGGCTACTATTTAACTCTTTTGCAATGCTAGCATGGCATTGAGGAGGTGAAAGTGAGAATGATGACCCAAACCCCTCTTATAATTCTATGCCCACCAATGATCATTCCAGCATTGACATCTTTCTTGCAGATGATCATTTTTGCAAGTGACTTTTTTACCCAATAAAGATCATACCACTGGTGACTTTTCTGCCTACTGTGAATCATATCGGTGGTGATTCCTCTCTACCCACCGTGAATCATAAAGGTAGTGATTTCACTAGCCATTATGAATCCTACAAGCAGTGATCTCTATACCCACCGTGAATCATACCTGTGTTGATTTCTCTACCTGCCATCAATCGTACAAGCAGTCATTTCTTTACCTGCCATGAATCCTATTCAGGGTGATTTATATCCACTATGAATTATCATGGTGGTGGTTTCTTTATTGGCTATGATTTAAACCAGCCTCAATCTTAATTTTCATGGCTGTGATGCACAGCAACCTTAGTTTCAATTTGAGAGTTTTTGGCTCCCCAACATTTTTCTACTCTTTGAAGCTTCCAAATGTTGTTTGCAGAAATTTAGACCTTGCTTGCTTGATTGCTTGCCAAGAAATTTCTGTCATGGCTAATGATCATTCCAACCATCCTGTTGAGTTATCGTTCTGGAAATAATCATCTCTTCAGAATCTCTAGCATCCTTGACTTGTTTTTCCAGCCATGTTTAATGGAGCCCACTTAATTTTTTTTGTTTTTGTTTTTCTTTTTGAAAACTTTTATTTCTAACCAACATAAAGCTTAGTCTAATGAATCAATTATCCAAAAAGTTGAAGCTTTCAAGTAAAGGGGTGTGAAGGAATGAACTTTAGATCACATGGTTATAGAGGCTATGCTATCATGTCAAGAACTAAATGTATAGATAGCTTAAATTGCTCGGCGAAGGCACATGTTAGAGTATAATATAAATTATTAAAGCGGCTCTTACCTAATAGCTTAAGCTTTTGGGTTGAAATGGTTCTTTACATGGTATCAGAGCCTCGTGTCTCGGGTTCGATCCTCGCCGCCTCCCATTTTCTTTGTGGAATTTCTTAGCACAGGTAGGCTGGGCCTGATGCATCATTCACCTTTCAAGTCCAATGGGCTCTATTGTGAGGGGGTGTGTTAGAGTATAATATAAGGCTTTAATGTTTCTACACTGAATGTAGATAAGTTGTCTACATTCACTCCCAAAACGAAGACGTTTTGCGTTGAAAAATTAAAAAATTATAATGAGAAAAACTCTTATAACCTTGAAATAGATTATAATTACAAAAATATCTTAATTTCAAAACATCGTCGTTTTGGATTCAATGTAGATAACTTATCTACAGTAGAAAAAACGAACCCATAATATAAATTATTAAAAAAGCCCTCACCTAATAGCTTAAGCTTTTGGGTTGAAATGGTTTTTTACAGCACACAAATGGTTTTATACCTAAAAATTTGTAAGCTTTAGCTTGAGGGTAACTGTTAGAATATCTACAAAATATTTTGAGGAAGAGAAGGATGTATACTATAAAAGGATAATTTATGTTATTTTAGAGATAATTGTGGTACTTTATTCTTAGGGATCTTATCTTGTTTAGAATCTTATATTATTCTGAGGGATTTTATCTTATTTTTAGTAAGTTATTTATTCCCTTATTTGAGTAGAGTTAGGAGTCTTGATGTCTTGTACTGTACTTAATTCCTAGTATAAATAAGGTCAATGCTTTGTCTTTTGTATCAAATCAGAATACACCATATCAATTTAATATTCTGAATTTCTATTCTCTTTTTCCCCTTTCTTACTTAAACCGTATAATTTCAACTACTATATTGGGTGGAACAAAATTATATTTCTTTATTGATAAGTAGTGGTTTTTTTAACTAAACATCAGCATTTTAATCCTAATTTTTAAAAAAATGCATCACCAACGCTACCACAGTTTCTTCAATTTTACTAGCTTAATGCTAACAATATGAACTTCAATAGTTAATGCTGATAGCATTGTTATGTGAATAGCATCTAGATTCATTGTATAGTATAACCAAATCACGTAATTATATAATATTTTGGAAACTGTTTCATTGTGTTAGAGATACTTATAACCATTAATGTAGCCTCATCCACCAGCTTAAGCTTTTGCGTTGAATTGTTTTTTACATGGTATCAGAATCTCGGTGTTCTGGGTTTGATCCTTACTGCTCCCCACTTTCTCTTGTGGAATTTATTAGCATAGGTAGGTGGGCCTGTGCATTGTCCACCCTTCAAGCCTAGTTAGAGAATAGTATAAAACCATTAAAAGTCCTCACCCACCAGCTTAAGCTTTTAGGTTGAATTGGTTCCCTACACATTGTATTAATTATATTAAGCCTATTATAAAGCATCCGTTGTGTAGCTGAAATACAGTTTCAGCTTCTGTATGCCTCTCTGTTTTCTCTCTCTCTAAGTCTCGACAGTAAGTTTGTGCAGAAAATAAAAATATCATATACTGAATGAACTGTTGAATTCTAGCAATCATGTTTCATGTATTTTCTGTATTTTTGTGTGTTATGATTGTATGAAACTCCCAAAATATTTTTGAAATTGTGCTTCATTAAATTTGTTTGTCAGTTTACTAAACTAATTTTTCAATAGATATCTCCCCTTATTGAACCCACAAAATTAATCATGGGAATGCCTATAGATAACTACCAGTGGTACGAGCTCTTTCCAGAAAACGGTAATACTTTATGTCCTTTTTCACTATCACTACTACATATTTTGTAAGCATAGCTTGCTTCAACTAACATTATATAAGTGCTGCAGAGACTCACAATATATTAATTGTCATTGCAATATGGGCTCCAATTGTCCTGGTGAGTTTAGTAGAAAAGAATTTTGGAGTAAAAAACTTTACCTTGTTCCATTGCTTTGGCTTTCACATTTTTGGGCTTAATATGTTCCATTTTTATATTTTTCATTAATATATAGGTGTATTTTATGGATACTCAAATATGGTATGCCATTTATGCCACTATATTTGGTGGGATTATTGGAGCCTTCAGCCATTTGGGTGAGGTTAGTGGAAAATTTATTGCAATATTTTATATTGATTGTTTGTAATTTCCCCCTTTCTTACGGGATTTCTTTGTTTACCATACAAGGAAAAAAATTGCAGCATTTGTGACTAAGCTATCTCATAAAACCCATCTTTACATGATTTTCTTTTCGAAAATTTGACTTTTTGCTTGTGGTAATGATAGTACTAAATCCTTATCAGTTTTGTAATCCTTTTCTGTTGATTATCTCCTAACATTTTGTATCTCTTAGATAAGGACACTTGGAATGCTCCGCTCCAGATTTCAATCTGTACCAGTAGCTTTCAGTTTACGCTTTTGGACTGGAAGAGACAGATATAGTAAACAGGAGGACTTGGTACTGCATATCATGTTTCAAAATTCAGGACTTGTTCGTGAAGAAATGATATAACTACATAGATGCTAGATATTTATTGGGAGTCTTATAAATGGAGTTTCTGTGGCAGGATGAGTCATATGAACGGTGGAATATTGCATACTTTTCTCAGGTTTGGAATGAGTTTATAAATTCTATGAGAGAGGAAGACCTCATCAGTAACAGGTCGAAACTGCTGCTTCCTTACACATCTTGCATCAGATGCCTGAATTTTCAAGATTCTGATTATATCTCTTGACTATTGATTGTCCAGGGATAGAGATTTGCTTCTCGTCCCATACAGTTCGAATGATATTTCTGTCATCCAGTGGCCTCCATTCTTGCTTGCTAGTAAGGTATGAAATTTTTTAGTGGCTCTGTAAAGGAAAAAGGTTTATTATAATAGAATTGCTGTGTCTTTTGCTTCCTTTCTAAATCTCTTCAATATGTGATAGATTCCCATAGCTGTTGACATGGCAAAGGATTTTAAGAAGGAGGATGATGCTGAGTTATTTAAAAAGATTAAGAATGATGGTTACATGTATTCAGCAGTTGTCGAATGCTATGAGACTCTCAAGGACATCATAGGGAACCTTCTGCTAGATAGAGAAGATCAGGAGTAAGGAAGAAATATCTGTATAGCCTCTGTTCACCCATTTAATTTTTTTCTTATTGGAATCCTCTTGACTATTGGGTTTTTGCCATGTTTGAGACAGGATTATAAGCCTTATATGCGGTAAAGTAGAATCTTGTATAAGACATGAAACATTTGTCAAGAATTTCAAGATGAGTGGCTTGCCTTCACTTAGTGAGAAGTTGGAGAAATTCTTATCTCTATTGGTAGCTTTTTTTTTTCCATCATGCTTCCTTTTTCGCTTTTTTCAAGTATATTTCTGTTCCTTCTTGGTAGACTTATTCAGGTCTCATAAACATTGATTTTTTTTATTTTTTTTATTTCCATTGGCAGCGAACTGACAATGTCAAAGATTCATTGAAGCCCCAGATAGTCAATGTCCTGCAGGATATTGTAGAAATTGTCATACAGGATGTTATGGTTGATGGCCATGAGTATGTGTTAAACATTAAGTGGGATATTGGTTTATGATTTCTTTTAACCCTATAATAAGTACTGCTTTGTGATATTGGCTTGGTTCTGCTTTCTCCAGAATTCTGCATCAATCTCAGCAATATATAGGAGATAGAGGGCAGCAGAGATTTGTTAACATTGACATTTCTTTTACGAAGAATAAATCTGTGATGGAGAAGGTAATCTTGACAACTACACTCCTGCAAACATATCACATTATTCTTTTTGAATGCCTTGTTGCTTATTAGTCTCTGTTTCTACTCTGTAGGTTGTTAGGCTTCATTTGCTTTTAACAGTCAAGGAATCAGCCATAAATGTGCCCCAAAATCTGGATGCCCGCCGCCGTATCACATTCTTTGCAAATTCTTTGTTTATGAATATGCCAAAGGCTCCCAAAGTTAGGGACATGTTATCCTTCAGGTTAGTCATTGTGATAGACTAATATATTGAAAGGAGAAAAAGAGGTAGAATGAATATTGAATAATGTCAAGATATAACTCATGAATGGTTTTATATCAAACACGCCTATTCTACCTTGTGTTGAAATTAAACTTCATGTTAGAACAGTGGCGGTAGCAAGAATTGAACTCTTGACGCCTTAATCATACAGTCTCTAATAATTTGTTGAAGGGCCAATTTTCCTAAAAGCTTAAGTTGTTAGGAAGAGACCCATAAATGGTTTATGTCTCTAACAAATAATAAATTTTAAAATGGATGGATGAATTACAATCTGTACAGGAGATCTACTGTTTTTTGATAGGTCATTTAAAAATGCCAATTTATTCTTACTTTTATACTCGGCAAAAGAGAAGAATGACTATGGTATTAATCAAATCTGATTTTTCATTACCATTGCTCTTTTGATTGTTGGTAACAATTGCCACATCATTTATTGTGGCTGCGGGGATGTATATACAGATTATCGACTTTCCTAATTATATGGATGACTGTTTATTTTTGTTGAGAGAAGTTTGTGTGTTAAGCTAGACACATGTTCTGTTATTTATCGATTATTTACAATCAATTAGAGAGTAATCTATCCTGGTAAAAACTAGCCTCTGTCCTAATAATCAGTAATTTATTATTCTAATCTAATCAACGTAAATATACTTGACTATACATTCTAACATATTGCTAATATTCAAACGTAAATGTTAATATTCTAACAATTTTACCTCATGCTACCATGATATCTTATCTGATTTTTGCTTCAGTGTTCTAACACCGTATTTCAAAGAAGATGTTCTCTATTCTACTCAAGAACTCAATTTGGAAAATGAAGATGGAATATCAATTTTATTCTACCTAACAAAGATATATCCTGGTGAGTAATGTTTTTGAATGCTTACCAATTATTTTGCCCCTCTTTAGCACATGTGCACTTATTTTACTGTCGGACATTAATGCCGTGTAGATGAATGGGCTAATTTCCATGAACGCGTAAAAAGTGAGGATCTTGAAGAAAATAAGGAGGAGCTTATTCGTCAGTGGGCATCTTACAGAGGACAGACACTTTATCGAACAGGTCTTGATCATAGTGAATATTGTTTTCATTGCTAGATTTGTATATGTATTCCAATTAAATGTTATTTTTCAACTTTTTCTATTTGTTTTGTCTAGTGAGAGGAATGATGTACTATTGGCAAGCTTTGATTCTTCAGTGCTTCATAGAATCTGCTGGAGATAATGGTTAGTTCTCTCTTCTGTATGCTGTGTTTCAAATTCAAATTCTGAGATATAGCAGAAGCCATTCATTTACGAAGGAACTATCATCGTGTCTCTTCCAGATACTATCTCTTACGACTACCGGACAGTGGATTTCGATGACGATGATAAGCTTCTACACGCAAAAGCTATGGCTGATTTGAAGTTCACCTATGTTGTTTCTTGTCAACTGTATGGTTCTCATAAAAAGTCCAAAAATAGTAAAGACAGAAGCTGCTACAATAATATTCTCAATCTGATGTTAACGTGAGTCAATACAACCATTTTCCGAACAATATAAAGGATCTTGTATATCGTAAAATAACAAATGGGATTGACAATGGAAAAATGGAACATTCCATGCAGACATTCAGGCCTTCGTGTTGCTTACATAGATGAAAGCGAAGAGACAAGGGATGGAAAAACTCAGAAATTTTATTACTCTGTTCTTGTCAAGGGAGGGGACAAGTATGATGAGGTATGGACAAAAAAATTTCGTTTGATGTTTTTTTGTGATTTCTGCTTCATTCATATTTACGAAAAGAAGGTATAAATTAAATTTATTTTTGTAGGCTTGTTTCTAGAAAATCTACCAGCCACTCACCTTATAGGAAAATCTGCTGTGAAATCTGATAAATACGTAATAAGTCATTGTAAAAGGAAAATGTAAAAGTTTCTCTAGAATCTCTTTATTTTGGCATTAGCATATTTCGTGGCTATTTTTAGCTGTCTTCTGTCGATATCATTGACAAGATTTAAAGATTATGAGGGTAACAAAAAAAAGAGAGGATGTTATGCGCAACTATTTGCATGTGCTAAACAGAATGGGTTGTTTACTCTGTATTACCATTGCATTGGGTTGCTCAATTTGGTTGAGTTGGTTTGGGGTATTGAACAGCCTCAAATTTTAATACAAACGGTTCTATGTTGCTTTGCCAGGAAATATATCGCATCAAGCTTCCTGGTCCTCCAACAGAAATTGGTGAAGGAAAACCTGAAAACCAAAATCATGCCATTATATTTACTCGAGGTGAAGCCTTACAAACCATAGACATGAATCAGGTAACATCAATTCAATATGCAGTAAATAGTACTTGTTAGAGATTTAATATAAAATCATTCATGTGTATTCTCACCTAACAGCTTTTGGGGTATTTTGTTCATGACAGTACCTTTTGTATAATTCAATGCTCTTAATTTACCTTTTTTTTGTTAAGGATAATTACTTTGAAGAAGCTTTCAAAATGAGAAATGTATTAGAAGAATTCCGCAAAGATCGTAGGGGGCAACGGAAACCCACCATATTGGGTCTAAGGGAGCATATATTTACCGGAAGGTCTGCCCTGTGACAATATCTAGTATATAAATTTTATTTGAACAAATCATTTCATGACCAAGAAAATTTTCTTTTTTATCATCAAAAATGAATCCGTGCCAGTTATCTATGCTTAAATGTTTCTTATTTTGCAGTGTTTCATCACTTGCTTGGTTTATGTCAAACCAGGAGACCAGCTTTGTGACCATTGGCCAACGAATTTTGGCAAATCCTTTAAGGTTAGTCCCAATTTGTTTGTCATGAACTGCCTTCAAATGTGATATTACATGTAAGTTATTATTTTATATCCCTTGGGATTTTCATCCTCCATTTGGTGATCCGAATAATGGGGACTAGTAGTTACAAGTACATATTTGGCCTTCTCTTATCACTTCTTTGGATTCCGTTTTCCTTCCTGATTTAATTTTTATTGTTATCATATTATGAGTCTTGTCATCGTAAAAGCTTAATATCTTAGTAAATATAAAAGAAAGGATTCTATTTATTATATATCCACTTGCTTTCCCACTTAAGAGCCCATTACACTTGAAGCATCAACAGCACACACTCATCACTACTTTGCAATGCAATTGAATTTAATACAAGAATAGGAGCAACAAGACATGGGCCCTTAACCAGTTTGTTAAAGTGGCTCCAATATCATGTCCGGAAAACAATCATTCTAAGAGCTTAAGTTGTTAGGAGAAGGTCTAGGAGTTGTTTTTTATTTATATCTATGGTCTTTTATTTTATTTTGCTTTATTTTATTTGTCTTTTTATGGTGTTAGTAGTTATTTTAATTATGCTTATTGGGATAAAAAAACTGAAGGAATTGTATGTGACCTATGTGTTGGAGTTGGAAGCTTTGACACAGTTCGATAATTTACAGATTACAACCTACTTAGGGTTTTTGGCTATAACTTCATATTTAGCTTGTATATCATGATTGTGCTGGTTGAACCTATCTATTTCTGTTAGTCTTATTGTTTCTTTTGGATGGAGGGAATATTGGTTGTTCCCATGTCTTCTATTAGGTTGCACAAGGTGTTCTTAGAGACTTGGCAGTTAAAACTAAAAAGAGGGATTATCTTTTCTGTTGAAATGCTTCCTTTGCAGTTTTTTGGTTGTTTTGTTTGGGAAAGACTGCCACTAACACTTTGTTTGGTCCACTTCCGTGCTTTGAGGCAATGTGCTCCTCATGTCCCTGGTGTATTCTAAATAGAGCTTCTAAGAGGAATATTTTTGTTCAAGAATTTACTTATGTTCATTACTTTTCTTTCCTTCGTTTTATTACTTTTTTTTTATGTTTTACCCACAAAAGGACAACAAAAAGAAATAACGGATTGAATGAGCACAACAATTGTTTCTTTCTTTTTTTTATGAGTTTGATTGCTTGTTGAGCATCTTTCTTATTCAGTTATACAGTGAGTTTTGTTCTGTAAGAAAAATAATGTAAAAATACATAATTGGTAATATAGTTGGAAAAACTTCCAAAATAAATATTGTTTTAGGGAATTTTCAAAGTTCAATCTTGTTTTATTCATTGCAAAGTAAACTCTTTTGTAAACTTCAGCTAAGTAATCCATATTCCTAAATTTGCAGGGTTCGATTTCATTATGGTCATCCTGATATATTTGACAGAATCTTCCACATAACAAGAGGTGGCATAAGCAAAGCTTCAAAAGTTATAAACTTAAGCGAGGATATATTTGCAGGTACTTTAAGGTTGAGTAGAAAATGTGTATCCGATTGATGGAAATTTTTTACTAATTGTGCATAACATCCATAGGGTACAATTCAACTCTACGTCAAGGATTTATCACACATCATGAGTACATACAAGTAGGTAAGGGTCGTGATGTGGGTATGAATCAGATATCACTCTTTGAGGCTAAGGTTTCAAATGGAAATGGAGAACAAACGCTTAGCCGTGATGTTTATCGACTTGGACGGCGATTTGACTTCTACAGAATGTTGTCATTCTACTTCACAACAGTTGGTTTCTATTTCAGTAGCATGGTAATTAATCAAATTTTCTTTTGGGGATCTCATCTTGATAGTTAATGGCTATTATTAATAGCACATTACGGGAATGTACTTTGCATAATTCGGAGTATATGGTGTTTGCTTTCAATATAGGAAACAGCTTTGGTTATATACACTGTCTAGTTTTACAATGAAGAAGAAAATAAAAAAATAGAAAGTCTTAATATATGACTGGTGAATGGATTCTACTGTGATTTGAGCTATGTTAATCTTAATTATTGTTGAAGATATGAGTACTGATAAAAATGGTTTAAATGAAACAAGATATGGGAAGGATATGTGGATAGAAATCTATGATCAAATTTGCATGAAATGGCTGCTTTTATAAGGACTTGATTCTTCTGTTGGCTGTCTAGATATTTGCTACCACATGAAATAAGGTCCTCTTATTCCAGTTATTTTTATTTCATATGTATGATTCATTTAGTTTAATCCGGGTCATTTAAGACACTGTTGATGTCCTTCAAGTGGAGGCTAGACAAAATGCATATCATCTATCAAAATCACATTGTTTAATCGGGTATTCTATATGAAATAAATTCCTAAATAAGGTTATCTATAACAATCAACTTAGCCTTTGAGTTAGGCTGCTTTACATGACTATACAATAAAATATTTGAAATGTAAAAGTACAATAAAGTCACAGATATAACTAGACAGCTAATTATGATATAATTGAGTATGAAAGCACATTATCCTAGTTTTGTTGTGTAAAATTGGTTTATGCTAACGCCTGTAATTGGATGTTATGAATTTTTCAGATAACTGTGTTGACTGTCTATGTGTTCTTATATGGACGTCTATATATGGTATTGAGTGGAGTTGAGAGAGAAATTATTTCAAATCCAAACATAAAGCAGAGCAAAGCCCTTGAACAGGCCTTGGCATCCCAGTCTCTTGTTCAGTTGGGCTTACTGCTGGTGCTGCCCATGGTAATGGAAATTGGCTTGGAGAAGGGATTTCGCACCGCCTTGGGTGATTTCATCATCATGCAGCTGCAGCTAGCCTCTGTGTTCTTTACTTTCCAGCTTGGAACAAAAGCTCATTATTTTGGAAGAACAATCTTACATGGAGGCTCTAAATATAGACCAACTGGTCGCGGGTTTGTTGTCTTCCATGCAAAGTTTGCTGATAACTACAGGATGTACTCGCGAAGCCACTTTGTGAAAGGCCTGGAGATACTCATACTATTGATTGTTTATGAAGTCTATGGGGAGTCATATCGCAGCTCGCATCTTTATCTATTCATCACAATCTCAATGTGGTTTTTGGCTGTTTCCTGGTTGTTTGCTCCTTTCTTGTTTAACCCTTCTGGCTTTGATTGGCAAAAAACAGTTGATGATTGGACAGATTGGAAGCGGTGGATGGGAAATCGTGGGGGTATTGGTATCCCAGCTGATAAAAGCTGGGAATCTTGGTGGGATGAAGAAAATGAACACCTGAAATACTCGAATATCAGGGGGAAAATTCTTGAGATAGTTCTTGCATTTCGCTTCTTTATATATCAATATGGAATTGTCTACCACATGGATATAGCTCATCATGTCAAAAGCTTGCTGGTAAAGCAACTCATTTTCTGTGTTCTCTAGTCCTATAAATCGTTGTTAGTTTTGTGGCACCATCTTATTACCTTCAGTTTTTCTTGTAGGTATATGCACTTTCTTGGGCAGTTTTGGTAATTATCCTCGTTGTGTTGAAGGTATGTATATGCTACCAGGGGATCAAGAGTGACTTCCTATACAACCATTATTATTTGCATCAATTGAAGCCTAATTAATTGTTTGATATAAAATTATTTCACGTTTCCAAAATGTAAATGCATTTTGTCTTCTGTTGTTTGTGTATGGCTATCAGATGGTATCCATGGGTAGACGAAGATTCGGCACCGACTTTCAGCTCATGTTTCGAATTCTCAAGGCACTTCTCTTTCTTGGTTTCATGTCAGTCATGACTGTGCTATTTGTGGTTTGTGGTCTTACCGTATCAGATTTGTTTGCTGCTATTGTTGCCTTCATGCCCTCTGGATGGGCCCTTATTCTGGTAAGTTATAACTTGTGCATATTACAGAAGCACTAATAATATAAGAACAATTTTTGCATTTTTTGCCAACTTGCTATTGTGTGACATGGCTTAGGAAAGATTGAACAAAAATTACTATGTATTCTACTTCTGCATGGTCCTAAAATTGCAGGCACTTTTTCACCAATGATGTTCCATTTTTTCTTGTGCAATCAAGATTGCACAAGCATGCAGGGGGTGCTTGAAGGGAGCTAGATTATGGGATTCAGTGAAAGAGCTTTCAAGAGCATATGAATACGTAATGGGATTAATAATCTTCATGCCAGTAGCTGTTTTATCATGGTTCCCATTTGTGTCAGAGTTCCAAACCCGGTTGTTATTCAATCAAGCATTTAGTAGGGGGCTCCAGATTTCAATGATTCTTGCTGGAAAGAAAGACACTTATAAATCTGAATGACACATTATTATTATTAAATTGCCTAGGTAATCTTGCATTTACTACACATCAAGGTTATTTTTTTGTATCATGCTTTAAAGAAAGTAATGCTTTTTCCTTTCCCTCACTGATTCCATATCTTTCCAAATGTTGGCAGGAATTGGGAGTTTTCTGTTTGAAGAGAAATTAACCTCCTAGATATCAGAAAATTTTGGGAGCTCTGATGATTCCCTTATCCTTTTCAAACTAAATTGTACTAACTTTTTTTTTTTTGGTAACAAATTGTACTAACTTTATACTGTATATGTACGAGTTAAGTGATCAGCTTTATTTATTCATCTTTAACATAGGAAAGGGATTCGGAGGAGAAAATAATTATTATTCATTATAATTCAATTCAATTCAAGGAATTTTTTTTAAATATCTTTTCTTATATGGGGATGTACTTGTTAGGAGTTAGTTGTTCTCTTTTTTCTTTTTTGATATACCCCAGCAATAATCTCTAATAATAATTATAAAAAAAAGAGACAGTTGTTTTTTACAATGGTTACATATTTGTTCAGCAAATTGATTGATTAAAAAATGTAGCATTTTAAAAATGTTTAGATGTTTTAGGGGAAGATAGTGTTCTAGCCTTCTAGGTGATAGTTTTATTTCAATAATGCTAGATGTCCCTTTGTAATTTGAGTTTTAAAAGATAAACTATAGGATATTGATACAATCTTTAGGCCTTTTAAGTTAAGGGAGTTGGTCGCTTACCACCCAAAAAAAATAAAAAAAAATAAATAAAGTTATGGGAGTCGGTCTACTAGTCTATTAGATTTCCAAGGACTTTTGATGCTCGTGAATGAGGTAGAGTATGCGGATAGTAAAAGTGCGTGAATGAGATCTTGAACTCTCTATTTCACTATAGAGAAAAGATAAAACACTTTATATTTTTATAATAAAAGGATAAAACTCCTTTAAAATGAATTTACTTAAAGAATAAACAAATCATAATATATTCACTGTTAATTTAATGTAAAATATATTATTATTATTATTATTTTGATAAATGGTGACATTAAAGGTCATGGTCACATCCGGTAGTTAAAATCGAAATTTTACCTAAAACCAAAATAAAAATAAAAATTCATAAAATGTAAAAAAAATTGTAAAAAATCATAAAAATGTTTGGTATTTGATGAAATCATTTTGATTAAAATAAATCATAAAATAATAAAAATACAAATTTAAATCGAAATTTTAATTATTTTGATTACCTCCCTCGTGCCCTGACCGCTATAGTCGCTTAAATATATTATAAATTAGGCACAGATAAAAAAAGTCATTTCTTTGTAATAAAATCCAATTCTATGTGCCTCGAGGTCATTATAGTAACTTCACATTTTATAATCTTTTGGGATACATTAGCTTTTACTTCAGTTCAGAGTTTCAGTTACAGACCCCCAAAATTCACATTCACACACGCTTGTCTTGTCTAATAGATTGTACAAGTTCGATTCAACTTTCAAGTACTCGGAGTCTGAGGTAATCCACAACATACTCCAGCTCTCGTTGTTCCAATTTTGTTCCAAAATGGTATTTTAGTTCATGGACAAAATCGTTAAGGTATTCTTTCTTTCTTTTTATTCGTGGTTGAACTTGTGGTTGGGCTTGTATGTAGGATTACCAAGTTTTCTGCTTTTGGGTCATTGGAAAGTTTTCATTTTTACCCATATTTTACTTTTTCTTTTTTCATTTTTAATTTGAGTTTATAATCTTTTCAACTTCCAAAAAGAACCCAATATCATCAAATCTTAAAGGAAGAAGAACCAGCAAAATGTACCCAAATGTCTTTTTTTTATTTTTTAAATCTCTATTGGTAATTGTTCTGTAGTCTTCCAGAATTCAGCTGGTTTAACAAGAAAAAGGGAAGTGGGAATTGAAGCAGAAATGTTTTTGTTATTAGCAATGGAAAAGCTGGGAAGAGAATCTAGGAATCAAGAAGTGAAATGTGAAAGCTTTACTTGATAAGAAAATATCATCAGATGAAATTTTTGTTGATAGTGTTTCTTTGTTAGGAGTGGTGAATAATTCAAATAAGCATGGATGATTTTACCTGAGAAAAGTTCAGATAATTGGTGAAGAAAAAGAAATAGGGAGAAAAAAAAAATGCTTTCCTATAATTTTGTTTGCTTGCTTTCTGCACGTGCACAACAATTTCTTGCAAGAAGAATTCTGTAGCGAAGCTTCATGTGTTACAGATTTCGTTCTTATTGTTGTTTACCACTTCTGTAACTGATGATGTTCATCACATTATGTATTTTCCTTGTTTTCTCTTCTCACTCCTAATTATTGTGTTACTTTTGTTTACCTCCACAGCATAACTGAGTGTATATACTTAATTGTTGGTTATGCGTAGTCATTTGATATATTGCTATGATGCACCAACAAACTTTTGAAAACTAGTACATATTGCAGTTTTGACAAATTTCTTTTTAAGTATCATGTAAATTTTATGGATTTTCAATCTTTATGCTGTAGGTGGGGTTTGAAGTGTTGTATTAATAACTGGACTCTGTGACAATGGTTTTGTTAAGTGGCAATAACAAAAGGTAAGCTTTCAAGTCTAGTGAAGTTTATTCATTCTTTTGTTTCTGTTGTTTTATTGCAACCAGATTTTTCATTATGGATCAGCTCCTATTCTTTTAGTATACTATATTAATATTCCTTTATCAGAGGACTTGTACGTTGTCTGACAATTGTGTTCTTTCATTTATTTTCATATTTTAACCCTCTTATGCGAACCTATTGGTGTTATCCAGTAAATTACGTACAATCAAACTGATAGGGAATATCTCAGTCCAGTGACACATTTAATAATTTAACCTCCAACAGCATCTACTGTGGTCTGTCTTTCAAAGATGCATACATGCTTATGCTCAACACTTTTGTATGTATGCCAGAAACATTTTCAGTTCATATATGTGTGTGTGTTTATATATATTCCTCAATAATTCCATTTTATTAAAAATTCTGTATGGAAAATGTAAAGAATCAATTCAACCCAAAAGTTTAAGCTATTAAGTGAAGGCCTCTTTAATGGTTTTATATATCTCTAACACGCCCCCTCACATGAGAGCTTACTAGGCTTGAAGGGTGGACAATGCACATGTCTGAAAGTAAAATTGCCTTGAAGGCCGTAGCATGTGAGAGGGAAAAACAAAATTTTTCATATGCGGAATTACACATGCAATCAAGAATCATGCTTTATGGCATGTGATGTTACCTTTATTTGTGAGTTCAAAACTCCAAGATGATCAGTGTTAGGTTTGAAGGGTTCAAACCTTCTAATGTTGATCCACACCACCCAAGTCAAGATGTAAGAACGCTTTCTTGAAAGCCACCAATTGACCACCACAGAGAGGCTTGCTATGCGCTCAATAGGTGAAGAAGGAGGCTAGGTATATGTGTTTAGAAGAGTGAAGTCTCCAGCATGAAAACTTCACAAGAGTGGGAATGGTATATAGAAGAATTGGCTAGGTTCTTTTGAAAAACCTTAAGGAGGAACTCACCAACTAGGCACACAAGAGAGGGAGAGAATTTTTTTTTTACTTATAATGAAAGTGGCGCACAAGTGAGTGAGACAAAGGTGGAGTTGTTGCAATTCAAAAATCCCAACAACCTCCCCTTTGAATCCTCGTAAGACTAGGTCTTTATCTAGTCAAAATTCTGAACCAATGGTCATCATATGACCACCAATTCATGCGCCCCTATTCAGCCCAAAAAGGGTCCAGATACATTTGAGCTGTTGCATTCAAGTTTGAACCAACTAGCTCACTGATTCTTTCAACAACCAAATCTGATTGGAGCTTGTTGGTTTGACAAGATGACAATCATCTCCCACCAAAATGGCGTCCCAAATCAGCCCTTGGAGATCTCTATAGATCTTCTCTTGATACAAGGGATTTGTTTCAACAAGATCTCATCTTATCCTTTTGTTAAGAAACAACTTTTCATAGCCAATTCAAATTCGAATTCAAACATTTAAATTCAAACGTTCAAACATTTAAATTCTAAATTCAATTTCAAATTCAAAATTCAAATTTCAAAATTCAAATTCAAATTTCAAATTTCAAATTGAAAATTCAAAATTCGAATTTCAAAATTCAAATTGAAAATTCAAAATTCAAATTTCAAAATTCAAATTTCAAATTCAAAATTTAAATATTTGATAATTAATTTAACTAAATAAATTAAGAGTAAACACCCTTTTTAGTCCCTGACAATATCTACGAAGTCATTTTCAGTCCCTAGCAATAAAAAAGGACCAAATTGGTCCCTGAAAGTACAAGAAAAGGGCCACTCTACATATTTGGGAGTTGACATAAGGACTAACATGGCCCTTTTTTTGTAATTTCAGGGACCAATTTGGTCCTTTTTTATTGCCAGGGACTAAAAAGGACTTCGTAGATATTGACAGGGACTAAAAAGGGTGTTTACTCTTAAATTAATTAGTAATGTCTTGGACCATCTAAGCCCATTAACAATACCATGCGCCCTCTCCCTCTTAGGTGGGCTTCCAAACTTCATCTTGGGCTAACAACCATTATTAGGCCCAATACCTTTAATGTTATATCATCATGACATTAAGGTGTTAGTGTGTGACCCATTAGGTCCAACATAGCCACTGACATAAATGGGCTCGGGCCCAACAAGCCCACAACCCATTTAATGACAACACAGAGCACTAGCAATGCTTTGTTGCCCCAGAGCTAGTTAGATTAATGACTTGATCATCCTATTACACATATTTGGTTTCCGTATGTATTTCTTTTCGTCTCGGTTACCTTCCCATAAAACCTAGGGTAAGGAAGCGTATCAACCCTTGCGGTTTAGGGTAAGCTTTATTCGAAATAGGGAATCTTCAATTTACTGACTCTAAAGGCAGATCATCTCATGATCTCTTTTACTATGCATAGATTCCCGAGTCCCTGTAAATGTCATCCCGATTTCTCCGGTTTACAGATTACCTAATCTCTCACAGAGATTTGACGAATTCCTTCAGCTTATCACCCTAGCCCTGTGCTCTTTCAGGACAAGCCCAACAGTATACCTATGAGTCTTCATGTTTCAGTCAGACAAGGTATACAGTCAAAGCATGCCTTCTAGAACACAGTCTAGGTAATAACTTCTGGTCTAAGGAAAGACATATCCAAATATAAAGAGACTACTCTAATGATACTCTCTGTGAGATTTCCTCATAGAGTCTCTTTTGTGGGTCTGTTCAGTGCGAGCTATACCCTTATAGGTCCACTCACGACTTTAGTTAAGACATCTCCATATCTGTAGCTCATGAGGTATTTACCTTGCATCCGAATACAAGTAGATAAGTCGTGCTAGTCTTACCCGAGATCACTGATCCCCATTCTCAGTGTCTCTAGACTAGGAACATAAAATTAGGAATAAATATCCAGTATCCTTGAATCCTCATGATCGTGATCTCATCACAGATACTCAAGAGATACCTATTTTATTCCAAGGGGTTTATCCAGTTTCTCATATAAAATATTAACAGTAATATTGAGACAAAATATGAAACAGGATAAATAGTGCTTTTATTTATTTGCGACAATACAAAGGTCCACATATGTCCTAATCTAAATAAAAGATTGTCTCTAGGACTTCCATATACTAACAAGCTCCCACTTGGCCTAGAGCCAATCAGACCTAAGTCGTATACCCAAAGCCTCATAATGACTATCATGTTTTCTCTGAGAAACAGTCTTTGTCAGAGAATCGGCTAGGTTATCATCTGTGGGAATATAATCCATCTTTACATCCATCTTATCAATGATTTCTCTAATCAGGTGATATCTGCGGAGCACGTGCTTAGATCTTTGATGAGACCTAGGTTCCTTTGACTGCGCAATGGCTCCAGTGTTGTCGCAAAGCAACTGTATGGGCTCATCCACGCTTGGAACCACCCTAAGTTCAGATATGAACTTCTTGATCCACACGGCCTCCTTAGTTGCTTCTGAAGCAGCTATATATTCAGCTTCTGTCGTTGAATCCGTTGTTGTCTCCTGCTTGGAACTCTTCCAAGATACTGCCCCACCATTTAAGGTGAATACGAACCCTGACTGTGACTTGCAGTCATCTTTGTCACTCTGAAAACTGGCATCAGTGAACCCTTTCACTGTTAGCTCATCAACCCCACCATAGACCAGAAACGCATCCTTAGTTCTTCTTAAGTATTTAAGGATGGTCTTGACTGCTGTCCAGTGACCCTCTCCAGGGTCCGACTGGTATCTGCTCGTAATGCTCAAAGCATATGAGACATCTGGTCTCGTACATATCATGGCATACATGATGGATCCAATAGCCGAAGCGTATGGAATTCCACTCATGCGATCCTTCTCAGGCTGTGACTTAGGACACATAGCCTTTGAAAGATGTACCCCATGACTGACGGGAAGAAAACCCCTTTTCGACCCTTCCATGCTAAACCTCTTTAGCATCTTGTCAACATACGTGGATTGAGATAAACCCAGCAGCCTCTTGGATCTATCTCTATAGATCTTTATACCAAGTATAAAGGTCGCTTCTCCCAAATCCTTCATGGTGAAGCTTTTTGAAAGCCACTCTTTCGTTATTCGTAATGTGGGGATGTCATTTCCTATTAACAATATGTCATCTACATAAAGTACCAGGAAGACGACATTACTCCCACTAACCTTCTTGTAAACACAAGGTTCATCCTCGTTCTTGATAAAACCGTTACTCTTAACGACTTCATCAAAACGAATATTCCAACTCCTTGATGCTTGCTTTAGCCCATATATCGACCTTTGAAGTTTGCATACCATATGCTCCTGATCTTTGTTTTCAAAGCCCTCAGGTTGTGTCATGTACACTTCCTCCTTCAAGAACCCATTCAAGAAGGCGGTCTTGACATCCATTTGCCAAATTTCATAGTCGTGATATGCCGCCATTGCAAGCATGATCCTAATAGATTTGATCATGGCAACAGGCGAGAAAGTCTCATCATAGTCAACTCCTTGTCTTTGACGATACCCTTTCGCAACCAACCTAGCTTTGTAGGTCTGAACGTTGCCATCTGCATCAGTCTTTCTTTTAAAGACCCATTTGTTACCGATAGGAACTATTCCTTGCGGTTTAGGAACCAAGGTCCATACCTTGTTTTGATACATCGAATCCATTTCAGATTCCATGGCTTCAAGCCATCTAGAAGAGTCAACATCCTTGACTGCCTCTTCGTAGTTACCTGGTTCATCATCCTCGACGGTTTGCTGATTCTCAATCACAAACCCAAACCTCTCAGGTGGATGGATGACCCTCGTTGACCTACGGAGTTGTGTGTTTACTTCTCCATTGGAGAATGTCGCCTGCGGAGCAGACTCGGGTTCTTCAATCTGTTCATGTGGTTCTTGAACTTCTTCAAGATCAATCTTACTCCCACTGGCTCCTTGAGAGATCAAATCCTTCTCAAGGAACTCAGCATTCTTTGACACAAACGCCTTGTGTTCATCCATGGAGTAAAAGTAGTATCCCTTAGTACCTTTGGGATACACCACAAATAGACATTTAGTATTCTTAGCACTAAGCTTGTCTGATGCCAACGCTTTGACATAAGCTGGCGATCCCCATACCCTGAGGTAACTCAGGTTGGGTCTCTTACCATTCCATATCTCATATGGTGTGGTCTGAACAGATTTAGACGGTACCCTATTTAGAAGGTATGCCGCTGTGTCTAAGGCATATCCCCAAAACGATTTTGGAAGTTGAGTCTCACTCATCATAGACCTGACCATGTCTAACAAGGTCCTGTTTCTCCTTTCGGAGACACCATTTTGGTGTGGTGTGTAAGGTGCAGTAAACTGCGAGAGAATTCTATTTTCTCTCAGATAATCCTGAAACTCATAGCTCAGATATTTACCACCACGATCTGATCGTAATGTCTTAATCATCTTGCCACGCTTTTTTTTATAAGAAATTTATGTTGTTATCTGATGTCTATTGCTCCTTTGTTGGAGAAGAATGCTAGAATTTCAAGGATATTTTCTTGTGGATGCCTCTTTAATGGGCTAAAGCGGTCTTATTGGCTTCTTTGCGGTTCACAAATCAGATAATGGTCATTTTGGAGGGCTTTCTTTGTTGTATAAGCAAAGATAGGAAAGCGCTTTGCTTATCTGTTGTGCTTTCGTGTTTTTTTTTTTTTTCCTTGGTTATGTTATCATTTGTTCTTAGAGGGCGAGCCTTGGAATAGTAGTAAGATTGGTCGGAAGGTCACTAGTTTGAGTTTAGGAAACAATCTCTTTGTCAAAATGCAAGGGTAAGGCTACGATCAATTGACCCTCACTCCTACCCTCGCAAGTCAAGGAGCCTTGTAAACCAGTGTTTGCCTTTTATCTTATCGTTTGTTCTTATACTTCTTTCTCATTACTAATAAAATTTCTTGTTTTTATAAAAGAGCCAATATATATTCCTTGTTATTCATATGTTATGCTTTTCTTATTTTCATTGTTCCGGTTTTATTGTGTGAATGTGAAGTGATTGAATCTAAAAAAAGTTTAAATTGTGAGATGTTTTCAACTTTTATATCAGTAGCATGGATACATTTGAACTTTATACTTGTAGTGTATTCAGTGGCAACATCCATGCTGTGTATAGACTATAATAGGTATAGACTCTCTAACCTGTTTTATTAATCTTTATAACTGGTTTACATTTATCTGATGTTTGACTGCAGTGTTTTGCAACAAACGAATGATGAGAGGGCCAAAGCACAAGGTGTTACAGTGCTTCACAATTCGCATCAGCAAGGAGGAAACAAGAGTGTAGAAAGTGGGCGTGCACAAAATTCGCCTAACTTAGGGATGACCAAAGGAATGACAACAATGGATGAATTTAAGTTTGGGTTTCCATCAGAAGGCTTATCAACTATTTCAAACAAATGGTGGGGAAGTAATGATCATAATGATTGTGCAGGCACCACCAATCCTGAAGGAGCCAAGAATCAACTTGAAAAAAGAGCAGAGGAAATAAACAAGGTGGCATGTGAAACTGAAAAAGCTGAAAGCAGGGAAACTCCTCAAGGTTCAGCTTTATTGAAAGCTGTGAGGAAAAGAGCTGTAGAAGAAGGACGAGAAGCATGTAAATTAGGTGTTTTCAGAGGCTATGGTGTAAACAAGCTAGGCAAAAGGGAGAAAATATTGCTCCACCAAATATTTAGATCTTCATTGCCAAGGTCATGGATACATGACTTGTGATTTAAGGCCAGTGTAATTCTGCATGGCTCTTGCTGCATTGAATACTTAATCAGCATCTTCATGAGAGAGTTCCTTCTTTTCTCTGAATGTTGTGGTTTTATCACTGGTAGTTCACTGGGACTGATTGATACCATTAATTTACTTATGATCAATTAAATATCGTCTCAGTTCATGTGACGAGAGGATTCATTTTCAAATTTTACACCATGTGACTGGAGTAATAGGTGATTAAATAGATTAATTAATGGGTTTAATGCTTTTTATTTTATAGTTGATAAAATTATCTTTTACATACACATAAAAGGGTATGAGTTTTATGTTTTTCTTTTTTTTCTCTTCACGTAGTCCTATATGGACTTTACATATTTTTATATGTGTGTAGGAGATAATTTTATCTTTTTTTTTTTTCTTTGGTTAAGTCATGGGGTAAAAACCCCACGAACAGAAAACAGCAAAATAAAAGACAGATAGCAGAAACTAAAACAAAATAGCAGAAAAGAAAAAACTACTAACGACAACAAAAGAATAGAAACTATAAACAGAACAGAGTTAACGACTAGCAGCAAGCCTTGAGCTACCCGGGTCCAGCATATCAGCAGCAAGCAAATTGAGGAGTTCAAAGTGAGGGGATGAAAAGGTGGTGACACCAAAAGGATCATCCAAATCTTTCTTTGCTAACCAATCAGCACAGGAGTTGCAAGTCCTGGGAATATGCTTCAACAAGACAGACCAATCCTTATTGAGAGCAGCTCGAATCTTAGTTACCAGAGGTAACTTTCGAGAGTCATTACCAGAAGAGGTAAGAAGACCAATAGCTTGAGACGAATCTGATTCTAGGATAATATTCTTCCAACCAGAATTCCAAACAAAATTCAAACCGTGAAAAATAGCCCAAAGCTCGGCTTGTAAAGATGAGCAATTTCCAATGAAGGCAGTGAACCCACAGATCCAGTTTCCTTTCCAATCTCTCAACAAACCTCCGCAAGCAGCTTTCTCAAAGGACACAGCAACATCCACATTCAGTTTTAGGAAAGCTTGCGATGGAGCATTCCAAACAGTGGAGGGCTCAATGTAGGGGCTCATGTTCTCAAACTGTAATTTGAGCTTTCTACAGCATCCTGATTCCCTTACTAATTCTAAGAGATCAAGAGAGGGGTCCTCAGGTCTTTTAGCTGAACCATCATGGAGTTCTTTATTCCTCCAATACCATAAGAAATTACAGGCAATAAAGAACAAATCCCTCCAGTCTTGGACCCTAGTCTTCCTCACATTCAAATTAAGAGAAATCCACTCTTTGAAACAAACCATGGAGAAAAAGCCCAGAGGAAGAGGTTGAAATAAAGGTAAATACCAAACCTTTTTTGCTTTAACACAGTCTCTGAAAGCATGAAGATTAGTTTCTACATCTTCTGGGCACGAGGGGCAGCAGTTAGAGGATCCACTCCATTTACTGATAAAGTCTTTGGTTAGCATCCTGCCATGGTACATCCTCCACATAAACACTTTAACTCTCTCTTTACCTTTCCAGCTCCATATCTGGTCCCAACTATTGACACTTAGACCAGGATTCAAATTAGAAAGGTTGTTGTAAGCAGTTTTAACTAAGGATTGACCTGGAATCGTATTTCTCCAGCACACAAAATCCTCTCCCGCTTCACCATCAGGGTGAGGGATAGCCATGATCTGATTTACTATACTGCTATCAAAATGGTGCATGAGGAAAGGAACATTCCAACCCGCTTCTGAGGAAAACATACTATGATTTACTTTGCAGTCAACAGTATCAGATGTTGGAGGATTGATGGCTAAAGAAAGAAGACTAGCTTTACAACCAACCCAATCATCCATCCAGAAATCTACCTGCTTGCCATTGCCAATCTGCCAGGAGAGATTTCTTGTCATATCTGGCCAAATTTTGCACAGACTCTTCCATAAATGAGAGTCATATGGTTTCGAGACAGCCTCTTTCAGCAAATCTTTTCTTCTACCATATTTGGCCCCAAGAACTTGAGCCCACAGCTGGTCCGGGGAATTAATTAACCGCCAGGCACACTTATGGAGAAAAGCTTCATTCTGCCTTCTAAGATTGATAACTCCCAAACCACCTTGACTTTTTCCCATTTTAAGTTGCTCCCAACTAACAGCATGGAATTTCCTTTGATTCTCAGACTCCCCCCAAATGAAACTCCTCTGAATCTTCTCTATATCATCACAAATTCCTTTTGGGAGGAGGCTACTCTGCATATGGAAACTAGGAATAGCAGAGATGACCGATTTGGCAAGTGTCATTCTCCCTGCCATTGACAGGCAGCTTTTTTTCCAACCTTGCAGCCTGCCATCAACCCTGTCCATGATCTCTCCATAGTGCTGTTTACTTACACGACCATGTTTCATTCTGTACCCCAGATATCTACCAATATTCCTCGTATGAGCAAAGCCACTAATCTCAACAATGGCATTAGCAAGCTCAGGGGAGACATTTTTTGTAATATCCCAGAAAAATAATAGTAATTTATAATACAATAAATTAATAAAAGTAATAAATTATAAATTAGTAATAATAATAATGGGTGATAAATTGTTATTATTTGATTGATCATTATGCTTTAATGTTTGATTATTTGATTGGTAATGTTTGATTGGATTAGGATGAGTCAACAAACATAAATTGTTTAGATATGATGACTCAACAAACATAAATTGTTTAGATATGATGAGTCAGCATTGAGTCAGTAATGTATAAGCCCTAAACTTCAACTATAAATAGAGACCTAGCCTAACCAAACCAATTCACTCTCCTCTGCTACTCTCTTTCTCTTCTCACTCCAAAAAGTTTATTTTAATTATTTTCAATCTTTATATTTTTTTATCAACCGGTTCTCTGCCCTAAATTACTCTTTTCTTCTAAAAGTTAGCGAAAACAGAGACCAGGTAATCCTAATCCCTAGGTATTTTTAGATTATATTTTATGTCAAATTTGGTATGTGTAATCCTAATCCCTAGGTATTTTTAGATTATATTTATTTTATGTAAAATTTGGTATGTGTAATCCTAATCCTTAGAAGTCTTAGGTTAATTTTATATGAATTTTGATAGGATAATTATGATCCTAAATATATATCATAGTTACACTTCGTTGCAAATTTCTTTCGGTTTCTGTGCAATTCTTTAAATTGAATTCAAATTGTCGTTGCTTTTATATATGTAAACATTGTTCACAAAACAAAACTCTCCTTCTCGATTTTTGTGCGTCACTTTCCATTAAATTAGATGCCTGATTGGTTTCTTTCAATTTGCAAATTAATATGTCCTTCACTTTTGCTTATATGCATATATTTGCAATGATATTTTTCTCGGTTTACGTGATCAACCTATTTCAAATACATGCTTTCAGTATATGTTGTTAGTTACAATTGTTTCTTTTGAATCCTGTGCTTTATTTTATAAATTGAGGCACTAAAATATATATATGTTTTGATAAATTAGAAATTAATTGTTAGTTGCAGAAAATAGATATTACATATATTTGAAATAAATTGAGGAATTTTGTTATGTTTGTATAAAAAAAATTAATAGTGGGAGGATAGCTTTGGGATGGTACCTCCCAAAGTGATGAACACAACTTTTGGGCTTTATGCCTCCGATGTGAAACTGATGTGAAAATGATTATATCTGTTCTTCCCAAAGTGGTGTCTGGCAGGGTTCCCCGGGATACTAGTAGCAACTTTGGGAAGAGGTGTGCACACTAGGAAGATGTGAATTGATTATGGCCAAAGTGATTTGTTTGTGACTGGCAGGGTTTCCCGGGTCACAGGGTAGACTGGCAGGGTTCCCCGGGTCTACCATGGTTCTCTTCCCACTAAATAGACTAAATGGATTAAATAAATATTAATATAATTAATAACAAGTTGACATTTGATTCGAATTTTTGAGTTATATTATTTTATTGGATTATCATGAGTTATATTCTTTTTGTTTATTTATTTATTTATTTATTTTTGTATATCGGATTTGGATTACCAGCTTTGCTGACTTTTGTGTTTGTTTAACTGCAATGATCCTTCACGGGGGAGCAGATTTTCAGTGAAGCATGTTGCAAAGGATGGGGCTAGCTGTGGGCAGCGAGGATCACGACTCGGATATTATATTCCTAGCTAGTTTCTAAGTTTAGAAATTTTATGAGATTTAAATAAATGCATAAGACATATTTCCTTTATTTAAACTTTAGTCTTTGGTTTTATTTTTAATGTAATAAATTTAGCCTTGCACCTGTCCATAGTACAAGTGCGGCGGTAACACTTTCCAAATTTGATTATTTTGAACTTTCGCTGTTATTTACAAAAATTATTGAAATTATTTATGCTATTATAAATTGTTAGAATTTGGGGTGTTACATTTTTAGAGAAGAAGATATTTGATTTGGGGTAGCTTACCTTTTGGCCAGACATATCACTAAACTTTGAAAGGCAATTCATAACAGTATTAATCTGGGAGATATTAGCTTCACCAAAAAGAAGGAGGTCATCTGCGAAAAGCAGATGAGAGATACTCGGACCACCCTTCCCAGCTTTCATTGGCTTCCACATGTTGTCATTTATACAGTCAGCTATTAAATGAGACAGTTTTTCCATACATAAGACAAAGATATAGGGTGAGATGGGGTCCCATTGTCTTAGACCTCTGCTGGGAGATATTCTACCTGATTTGGTTCCATTCCAGAGAATATCCAGCTCAGTAGTTGAGATGCATTGCATAATAAGATTCACTAACTGATCCGGAAGATTGATCTCAATCAGCACCTTATGAATAAAGCTCCAAGACATTCGATCATAGGCCTTTTCGAGATCAATCTTTATAGTGAAAAAGCCTTTTTTGCCTTTCATCCTGTTCATAGAGTGAACCATCTCTTGAGCAATTGCAATGTTATCCTGGATGTGCCTGCCTGGAACAAAGCTCACCTGTTGAGGGGATATGAGCTTAGTCAGGACAGGTTTCAACTTCCCCACAATGATTTTGCTGATGCCCTTATAAAGCACAGAACAAAGCGCAATAGGCCGAAATTGGGAAATTTTCTCAGGATTTTTCAACTTCGGAATAAGGACAAGGAAGGTTTTATTAAGATCTCTCACATCAGTTGGATTATTCCATATCTGGTTAACACACATAACAACCTGATTCTTCAGTAGCTCCCAATTATGCTGAAAGAAAAGAGCTGGAAAACCGTCAGGACCCGGAGCTTTTAGGCTACCCATGGAGAAAAATGCCTCTTTAATCAACATATCCGAGATGGGATCATTGAGCAGCTTCTTTTCAGCTTCAAGAAGAACAGGCCAATTAAAATTTGTGTCAACCCAGGGTCTCTGAACATTCTCTTCTGCAAAAAGGTTATTGAAAAAACCAAGGATGAGCTTCTTCAAATTTTCTTCTTCTCTAACAAAATGACCTTCATCATTCTTCAATTCTAGGATTCTATTCCTAGCTCTTCTGATGATGGTGGTAGTATGGTAGAACTTAGTATTGTGATCTCCATCTTTAATCCAATTGCACCTCGCTTTTTGGAACCAAATAGCTTCTTCTTGGAGCAAAACCCTGTTCAATTCCTCTTGCAGAGCCTTATCAAGATCAGAATTAAAGTGGTCCAAGAGGTGATTGGTATTCCTTTGAATTTCCTGGAGCTTTTTTAGGAGGAAATCTTTTCTAAGCTGAATACATCCAAAGACCCTTTTATTCCAAGACTTCAAAGGATTAACCAATTCCTAAAGACTCTGGTTAATTTGAAGATGAGACTTCCAAATGAAACGGAGAAAATGAGGGAACGACGAATGCTCAAGCCAAGCCACCAAGAATCTGAAAGGCCTATCTTTATTGAAAACCTCTTTCGGAGCCAAGGATAGAAGCAAAGGGTTATGATCAGAATTGAGCCTGGGCAAAGCTCTCACTTCAGCGTCCTCAAATGCAGTTCTCCAGTCTGCATTCACACACACTCTATCCAGTCTTTTAAAAACTCTATCAAGGTGAAGCCATTTAGGACCCCTCCAGGTAAACATAGACCCTCTACATCCGAGATCCATAAGCTTACAATCACTGATTAAAGCAGTGAATTTCAGACATCTAGCAATATTGACTGGGGCTCCCCCTTTTTTTCCTTAATCGAAGCTATTTCATTGAAATCCCCCATCGTGACCCAGGGACCATTCACATTGTTACTTATTCTCATAAGGTTAGGCCACAGCTCTTCCCGGATATCCTCTCTAGGATTGGCATAGACCACTGTCAAGAGGAAATTACTTCCTGCATTATTTGAAACAGCCATATGAATGAATTGGCTTTTTTTTCAATAAACTCGATCTCAACTAATTCATCTTTCCACAGAATCCAGATTCCACCTGAAAAACCCACAGCTTCCTCTAACTCGAATCTGTTGAAACCAAGTTGCTTGATCTTCTTCTGAGCAGTTGCCCCACTGATTCTAGGTTCTAAGATTGCTACCAAGTCAATCTTATGCTTTCTTGTGAAATTACTAAGGGATGTTCTGAAGGTTTTCTTTGCTGCACCCCTACAATTCCAAACAAGAAAATTCATTGGGTAACTAAATCAGAATTATCAGGGTTGCAGAGTCCCTGATCACTCTCTTGCATATGAACTGCTTCATCACTGGTTGGAATCTTCACTTCTATCTCCATCTCATCCTCACAATCTTTATCAGGAGGTTCCTCAGGTTTCAGCATTAACTCACTAATGGAATTGGAAATATCTATATCCGAAGGCTTACAGTCCTCCACATTCAACTTACAACTAGTAACTTCCTCAGTCTTGTCATTAAGATTAGAAGCAGAACTCTGAACACATTGCGCTGTTTCTGTTCCAATGGATTTAGGCACCGTCTCAATGTCCCCAACAGGCACAGATTGGGCCTGCTTTAGGGGTTTCTGGTTTAAGAATTACTGGATGAAGGGAGCTCTAGAGCTTTAGGGCTGTTTCCACCTGACTTTTCCTCAGATGTGAAAATAAAAGATTCTGGGATTTCAGGAATCTTTGGTTTGTAAGTTGCCTTGCCAGCAACTCTTTTCTGAGCAGATGAGGATTTTCTGTTAACCCGCTTGGGATTTTCTTTGGAAGGACTATTCCCTTGATTCTCCTTGCTCACAATAATCTTGGAACTCTCAGCCACCTTAATATTTGACTTCATCACCCCTAGAGAATCGGACGCACTCCCTGTCTCTCTTTTCTTTTGACTAACACCTTTTTTATTTGAGATATCCTCTCCAAAGACTCTATCTGTTTTGCCTTCTACTTTCTTGCTCTGTTGACTCTTTGGAAAAAAAAAATTCTGAACCACCATCCACGGTCCCACGCCATAGTTAGCAGTATTTACCTCTTTTTCTGTCATCGGTTCTTTAGTCTTGTTGGACTCATCAATTTCCACAGCATCCGGGCATGTTTCAGAATTATGACCGTACTTTCCACATTGAAGACAGATCAGATAGAGGCCTTCATATTCCACCTTAAACACCTCTTCCTCCAGGATAAATTCTCCTCTCAACGGACTAGATAGGTCCAATTCAACACATAATCTCGCAAATTTCCCTCTATCCCCCAAAGATGTAGTTTTGTCAATCTTTAGGACTTTACCAATAGAGTTTCCAATAAGCTTCAAAACAGGAATTACACAGAATTCCAGAGGAATACCTGGAAGCCGAATCCAAGCTGCCACCCGATGAATATTTGCTTTGTGGGGATTGAAGAAAGGCTCCCATTTTCTGATTGCCAAATAATGCCCCATTAGGACCCATGGACCTCCGTTCAAAGCCAGGTTCAGATCCTCTAAACTTGAGAATTTTACAGAAAAAAAAAATCGTTGCCCAGGTCCGCTACTGTAATGGAACTAGATTTCGCCCATAGATTTCCCAGCTTCGTCTTCATGTACATGACTCCAACCCTTTTCCCCAGAAGCTTCACAATAATCGCGTTTCTCCAGGGAGCTCTGAGTCTCTGTTTTGCTTCCTTTGTACAGCGAAAGCGAACCGATCCATCCTCCCCATAAATGGTTTGGAAGCCCAGTTCATTTATAACACCAAGCTTAGGGTCCAGGGGCTCACCTTCTTCCTCTTCATGCTCTTCATGCCATGAGTCTTCCTCCCCTAGTACGCTTCCTTCCTGGCGAAGAGCTTCTGCAAAAGATTTGGGTTTACCCGATGGGAATCGGTCCAGCAAATTGCCCAAGCTAGCTCCTCTATTCGAGGAATCAGGGGAAAACTCCTCCCCGTTCTTTGCTCTCTTTACACTCTTCCTCATACAGTCCATCAGAGTATCAGTGAGATTTGATCCACCGTGTTTGTCATTCGTTCCGTTCATTTTTGCGTTGCCCTAACAGAGAAATAATTTCGCGCGCGTGTGTTGAGCACGCACTCTAACCCATTCCCTCTTCTCATATAATTTTATCTTTTATAATATGAGAAACATCAAATTCTTAATTAATTCTTAAAAGATATCATATTAGTTCTTGAAAGATGAGAATTATTACTTATGTCTTTAATACATACATTCCTTTAATTAAAAAAATTATTGAGCAAAACGGTGTCAGAGACTAATTTGACTAACGAAATGTATGTTTGAAAAATTTGTGGTAATTTTTATTTTTGAGGGACTAATATAATCATTTTACTTGTGGTAATTTTATATAATTCTATTGCGTCCCTCGGATTGGTGCCAAAGAATCTAGCGCACATGGTGGAGGTGATCAGGGCCAAGTTGCAAGGAACTTTAAAGATTAAAAGCACACCTGCATTCTCTCAATCGTCCCCTTAACTCAATTTATTGGGCATCGGTAATTAATTTATGAGTATACCTCACTAAATTATAATTATTAAATATACGAAAATCAACGGTTGTAATGAAAAATGAGAGTTCGTGCTATTATGTGTGGGTGTGAGGTGGGTTATTTACACACCAGTATAAGAATAAGAAATTTATTAAATTTTAGTAATTAATTTATTTGCATCTCACGACTTACGACTCTAATAAATCAAAATAGTTAAATATAATTAAAATCAACAATTAAAATTGAAAATATAACTTATTCCGTTGTAAAATCATCTCATCCACAGTATGTATAAAAGAACATAGAGGGACTGAGAAATATGTACTAGATTACATATGGAGACATGTTAATGAGATGCTGAAGTGAAGTGAATCTAGATAACAAGTTATCCAATTTAGGGATAGAGAATGAAAATGATGTAATGGGATGTTGATGTGCGTGTAGTTAATACAGTTTTGTAAGTTCGAGCTTGCAGCATGTGGAATTTTGTAGAGAACCAAAAAGGGAATATTGAGTTTGGTACCAATTTTTATTGTTATTTAATTTATTTTATTCTATACGTTATGTAGTTCCACAGTTTATTCTGTCTTGGTGGGAAGCAGGGAGACATTACAATCCACTATCTAATGTACAATGCATTTTTAATTGCCAATAATGGAAGTGGATCAAGCATGTAAAAGTAACCAGAAAAGAAGTTATGGCTGATATTATTGGTAAGGAATCAAAAGCAAAATGTTCGGGTATCAGCCATAAATCACTAGCCAAGAAAGAAAAAGTTGCTCAGTCACGTGATGTGCACATGATGCATGTGAAAGTGAAGTACACGATCTCACAGGACGAATAAACTAAGAAAAATATTAATATCATCATACGAGATAACAAGTATCTCCTACACACTCAAAAAGATATGAGTCCCATTTTATTTTATTTTTTTTTCTCTTTTCCCGTGCAATGGGATTCACGTAAAATTGTGAGTACAACATGAGATAAATATCTCCTGTTGCATAAGAAAATATAATCTCATAAACTAAAAAGATTATGGGGAAAAGAATTCTCATGTTACATGAGAATTCTTTCTCCTACTAGAGAGACATCGAAATGTGTGCAACAACTTTTTTTATTTTTGTTTTGTAATGAGAGGTGAGACCCATCACTTATTGTGTCTATAGTAAGAGAATTCTTTCTCTTACAACATGAGAAAAGAGGGACCCAAAGATTATACCCCGTAAGTTTATACGATGTTTGTAATTTTTAGACCTTTGATATTTTAGTTTAGGTTTTAATTTGTTAAGTTCAGTATATGCCTTTTAATTAAAATTAAACTATTTTAATCAATTAGAAATATAAAAATTATTAGCTAATTGATAAATAAATCATCATCGCGTTATAGTATTTTTTTTTTCTTTAATGAGATGAGCATTTTACCGTTCCACATTATTCATGTCTTAAATACATTGAATCACAAAAGAAAAAATAGAATGTACACGGTAATAAATAACATTATTATAAAAAAAATCTAAAAATCTAATCCGATGATGAACATTGAGGAAATAAAACAGAACAGAACAATTATACACGGTAGTTCTACACTGGGAAGTACGGACACATTATTTGGAAAGAAAAATATGTGTTGGAAATTACACGCGGCGGTCAATATTTTCTGACATTTTTTTTCCAATCCAAAACTTATTTTATTTTATCTTTTTAACTTAACATAAAAAATTAATTTATAAATCAAATATTTTCTGTTATAAAATTTGAAATGAAAATTTAACAAGGCATGAAAAATTATTTTTGTTTTACATTTATATTATGTAATTTAAATATTTGATTGATTATATGATTTATTATAGGTTATTATGTATATCGAATGAAAATTATATTATTTATATTAAAAATATTATTTAATTTCAAAATATGTTCTAATATATTAAAATGTAATATTTTTTAAAATTAAGATATCGATGCGTATGATATACTGTATTCTGTGTCATACGATATCGGTGGAACACATAATTCTAGATAAACAATTGGAGGTTTTTGAGGAGATTGATAGGCAAATGTGAAGTGGAAAAATTGAATGTCCATGTTTGGTTGAGAGAGGTTCATAATTTACCTACCTAAATTCCTTTGCTTGCAAACCAGTTTGTCCATGATTTTGAAGCCAGATAGCCGGCCAAAAAAACCCTTTGCTGAGGAGGTATTTCCGGTTATCTATGTAAAACCAAATTGGGTGTCCATCTATATTTTACCAAAAGCCAAACATAGATTTTACAAAAGTTACCTAATTTTTTCAGTAAATTTTTTTTCTACCAAACAACTGTTTTTATATTTTCCTACCAAACTCACTTTCCAACCATTCTCTACTAATCATATTTCCCTATGATTCATAAAAATTTCTCTTCAACCAAACGTGCCCTTACTATTTTATTATGACAGCATATATATATATATATATTTAGTAGACAACATCGTGATATTTATACTGATAGAAATACTCTAATAAAACAAAAATACAAAAAGAAAATTCTACTTAAAATTAAGAATTAATTCCTCCATTTAAAAGAGAATGATAAAGTTGTTTGCAATTAAATGGAACTCTTGATTTTTCCATACGAATTATCCTTTGTAAAAAAATCTTACTAAATTCAAAAGCTTGAGTTATATATTTTAGTATTAGTAAGTGTTTTAGAGACAATCTTAGAGTCAGAAGACATTTTAAATACTATTGAGTATTTTATGATATTTGACGTTTATTCATTTAAAGTATATTATATCTACTTCATGTTATGTCTTGGAATAGTACAGGTGTATCTTGAGGATCTATGATAAGATTATGATCATGAGGACTCAAATTCACTATATGACTATACTCTAAAACCATTCATAGTCTAGAGTCACCAATAAAGGGTGTTGGTCATCTCAAGCAAACTTGCACGACAATAGGTTACTTATACATGGAGATGTAAGATATAAACCTTGTAACACCCTGTTTGCAGCCGGTGTATTAACACACAAATGATATTTAAGCACAGCTTGCAAGAATTAATCGTGGAAGCAATATACTATTTTATATAAATAAACAAGGCTAATCCTCATGATGGATTAACTTTTTCTAACAGAAATTTCAGTAAGACAAGGAGTCCTCAGGGGATCCTCCACCCCAAGCTAACTTACATATATAATATAAGTTCTAAAATAGTGCAAACAGTATATAAAGAAACAGACTAATAACAAGATAAGGAGAATGACTATATTGGACCATTTATAGATGTAAACAATGTAGTATAGCATGCCATGCAATATATCAAATGAATGTGCAATGACGCATATGTCCATGTCATGTGTGTATGTATCCTACTGGCCAGAGAATAAAATGTAGGCATTACGCACGTCTACAACCCACAGTACAAGGAGTCCACCATGTACTTCACACATGGAGTTACCATCTTGCATGTGGCCCAACATGCTCAGGGATTACCGTCTCGCGTGGAATACCCCAAATACATATACATATGGAAAATGTGCTATATCATAATCTAGCTCAACAACATATTCAATACTCATAACATAAACAGATATAATTCTATAATCCAGCTCAACAGCATATCCAATGCTTATAACATAAACAGATATAATTTATAGAAAACATACCATGCACATAAGCCAATCCCCCATGGGGTTTGGCGGAACAAGCAATGGATAAAAGCGAGAACCAAAAGCTTACATGTATCGGTAAAGTCATTTAATACCAACTCAGTATCAATGTAGTCACCAACAACCAAACAATCCAGCGAGTCATAATCTGGTGTAATGGCAAACACATAATCAATAATCATATCCTACAATTTCAAGTCAAATGGAACATGTTTTCTTTTTCGTTTAGCGTACTGCAGGCTTCTCCCAAAGCCCCCAAGCACAAACCATCTTTACCATTTTTAAAATTGCAATTGCAACTCTTT